GTTTCTGGGCTTCTGGATGATTTGCTGCCATTCTCCCTCCTTGGCCATTCCTGCTGGGCATAGAGCCTTCGAAGGAAAGCAGTGCTGCTTGAAGGCCTTGTTAGATGCTGAAATGCATCCAGACCACTGAGGATGCTGATACAAAAAGTTATTTAAGGTGGGGAGAGGGGGGCAAGAATGCCTTTTAGGTTGTGGAGGATCATCACCAGGTGTTATTCTGCAAGTGTGTGAATTTTACAAGTCTGCCATTGAGAAAATCACAGCTGTGATGATCTTCCAATGAGCAGAACCACCATACTGAATTTGCATGCTTTTTGCTTGTAGGAAGCTGCCTTCAGCCCGTGTGCTTTCTGCAGGGCTTAGCTGGTCTCCAGAGAGACTGAAGGGAAAAGTCTCTTAAAAACTATTGCGGGGAGGCTGCTGCTGGACTTGTATATACAGGGACTTCCAAATACCATCATTATATTCCTACTTAAGGCTGCTACTTGGCAGAGCCATAAACAAACTACAGTTTGTTTCTCAGATTTGATAATCAGCTTGAAACAGGTCCCTGCCAAGGTACCAGCCCTGCCCGGCTCCTGCTCAGTGGCTGTGCTGAGATGGGAGCATCTTTGTACAGCCCGTCCACCCCTGAAGTGGGGTGGAGGATTCTGGAGGTGTTGAGGCTCTGGATGCAGGCTGTCAGTCCAGGGTGCCACCTTGCTGCATTGTCCCAAAGGCCTGGATTACTTTGTTGCCTTCTCTCCTCCGTGGTACAAGCTTCACTGAGTGGTTCAGTCCACTCAGCTGCACTCTCTGCTGAGTCTGGTAGGTGAATTCCTGCAAGTCTAGCCAGAAGTCACGAGATGGCTCAAGACAGTCCCAGATGTTCTTGCTAATTTACCTTTAGTGACTAAAGCCCTGTATATACAAGCTGTGGTATTTGGATTATTGGTGCTAGGAAAAAATGAGGATTTGTGCTCCTTGACCATATCTGAGTATCTGCAGTAAGGCCCACCTCCAATTTTCGTCAACCATCCTGGCATTGCAGAGCTCTTTGAATGTCTTTGTCCCTCACTGGCTGCATCTGTGACTCATTTGAGATTTGGCTCAAAAATTGCAGTCTCAAATGCAAGGCTGAGCTGGCACAACATTGACTTGAGAAAACTCAGCATGACACTTAATGGAGAATAAGCGTGTTTTACTGGAAAGAGGTTTGCATCTGCCTGTGGGGTCTGCAGGGGCTGTTTGGCCAAGCCTGTACACTGGAGTGTGTTTTGACCAGCCCTGATCTCCGAATGAGTGCTGATCTGCATGCGAGCCCTGCAGATGAAGCTTTAGGAATACATCTCAGTTACCACATGGTTAGCTAAATCCTTACCCTGTAAGGAAAAAAGTTGTTTCTCTCCGTGTGTGAGGAGGATGAGGTGGGTTTGGAAACACAGACAAAGCAGAAATTGTTTATCCAAATTGTTTGTGGTGTTCAAGTGGGAGGGCCAGATGAATACAGGATTGTACTGTTGAAATCACTGGCTGTACTGCTGCTGTTTGAGTGACTGAAGGCAGCTAAGCTCCACTGCTCGCATAACAAAAAAACCCAAACAAAACCCACTCTTTGTTATCAGTGCCAGTCAGTCAGGGACTCTGATCAGGAGAGCTCTGACAGAGGAGAGACACTTGCACTGAAGAGATGGGCAGTAGAGCTTGTGTGTGGAGGTGCTGCTGCCAGTCTGGTACTGGAGTGGACAAACTCACTCCAGGCCTCAGCTGGGCAGGCAGTGTGTTCTCCAAAGGCCAGTTGCCGGCAGCATGCCATGGTGCAGCTTGCCCTTTGTCCACGTGTTCAGTGCCCTTGGGCTGGTGAGGGTGAGAACAGCCTCACCTCCCTCTGTGCACACTGTGCCCAGCAACAAAGTGCAGCCCCTGGCCTGTGTGCTCCAGCCCAGGCTGACTCCTCTCTCGATTTGGGAGCAGTGTTTTTGTCGTGTGGCTTAGGCAGAGGAAGTGAGAGGCTGGTTTTGTGGTACCGCAGAGCTGTTCTTGTTGCTTTGATGAGCAGAGCCCCTCCAAGCCCTCACCTTGGGCCAGGTCCACCTGCTGTGGAGCCAGCAACATGTCCCTGGCCCCAGCAACTGCCCAGAGCCAGCCTGCAGCTGGGTGATGGCTGTTGAGGTCTGGAGCTGGGAGAGAAGGGAAGGGAGCACCCAGAGCCATGGTAGTAGGGACATCACCCTAAGAAGGGCTGCTGGGGAAAGGCAGCCAGGAGGTAGGGAGTCAGTTAGGGAAGGCACAGGGTGCTTGGCAGAGGAGAATCAGGAGACCAATGAGAAAGGTAATGGTGTGGCCAAAACAAAGCACTGTGGCAGCACTATGGATCAGGAAGGATCATCATATGCTCGGTCATACTTACTAGTTGAGGAAACATCAGCACCCAAAGAAGCTCCACAGGTCAGTTGTCAGGAGGTTTCACTTTAACTGGCCAGCAGTGTGCTGCAACATACTCGTGGCGTGTGCTGCCTGTCCCTGCAGCCGTATTCGCGTGACAGATTGCTGGCTGTGACCAAAGATTAACACCTTCCCATGTATGCCTTGTCCATGCCACCCCATGTAAAGGATGCGAACATTTTAGCAAAGGAGTAGTAGGGACTCCGACCCAAACTGTGCTACAGAGCAGGAGTACTCACTGCTGGAGGTCTTTGGCATTCTGAGACAGACAGTAGGAAATGTGAAGTGAGCACGATGGAAATCAAATAAGATCTTGCGCAAATGCTATTTTGAGTGACTGTTTCCTGAGGACTGGGCTCGCCTCTGATAATGTCTGGTGCTGCCACACGGAGGTCAGTGGCACAGCACCAGTTTGCATCGGCAGGAAATGGGGCTGTGCCCTTTTCTGTCCTACACACTGGATGTCTCTCCAGCTTTTCCATTGTGTGTGTTTATCTTACAAAATTCAATTCTTCTGACTCAGTCTCTTAGCTTCTATTAGAAAAATCTCCTGTCCTGGGCAGGAACCCTGATGCGGAATGAGAGTGCTGGCTGGCCACAGAGCTGCCTGCAGCACCACAGGCTGCCTCAGGGATCCAGCCTTAGGGGTCCACTCTTGTGCCACTTCCCCTTCAGGAGTAGCAGTTTGGCCATTTTTGTGTCTTCTGATGAGGAAATGGATAATGTGGTAAGTACAGCCAGGCACAGGCTTATGAAAGGCTCAAGCAGGAGCTTACATGAGAATTGCCACCTTGGATTTAGCAGCTGAATGGCCACCTCAGTACTTCTGCCAGAGCTTGAGTTTCCCCAGAGGGCATGTGGCTGCTGTATGTGCCCAGAAGTGCCAAACAACTTGCGCTTACCCCCCAGCACAGCTCAGCCTCCAGCCAGGACCCATCTGCACCTCCACGAGGGCTGGTTTACCAGCAGCTCAGTGCATGACCAGTTAATTGCAATGGTCACTAGAGGTACCAGTCTGAGGTGTTCAACCGTCAGTCTGCAGTGTGATGGGAATCAGGGCGCTGAGGTTTAGAGCCTGGTTTCCACCCTGGAGTCAGATTGCCAAAAAATCGGTATGCTCCTGCTCAGCCTCACTGTGCTGATGTCTCACGGAGGCCCTGACTGCTGGTGCTGTGAGGCTGTCCAGGATTCAAGAGGGAGCTGCAAAGCTCCCAGCTGAAATTGGAAGGTAAAAGGGCTGCTGCTTATTTAGCCTAGCCATCTGTTCAGGAGCATAAATGTATGCCTCACTTTTGTGTAAGTACTCAGCCTTTGGGTTCCTCGTCTAAATCATGTTTCTCCTTTTGATACTCCGTTAAAATAGATGGCAGCAATGGCTAGTGGTGGAGTCGCATCTGATGGCTGATCAGATTTATTTGCATTGCTGTGGAGAGGCAGGTAATAATTCCCAGGGGCACTCCAGGCCTGCAGAGCCTCCAGGCTTTTGTTTGAAATGGCCATGCTCTTCTTCCGCAGTGTTTACACAAAGCCAGCAGCAGCTTGTCCCTGCTCTCTCTATTTGGTCTGTACCCCTCTTGTTCTTGGGGCTTGGAATCTCTGTCTTGCAGGAGCCTAAAGTGCTCTTCTGAGCTGTGTTTCGCCATGCAGTGCATGCCTGTGGGACTGGGGTTCAGTCTGGTGCTGCAGGAAGGGCTGCTTTCAGGAGAGACCAGTCAAGTTGTGTAACGTCATCAGAGCCTACAAAACCCTGACACTTGGGTGTCTGGGACACCTTTGCTCTTTGTTTGAGCCTGTTACCCAAGGTGCAGCCCTGCAATGAGAAGCAGCAGCATTAAATTTAATCTTTTTAAATGTCCTGTGGAGTGTGTAACCCCATGTATGAGTGCACATCCCACACACTGAAACACCCAGGCACCCCAGTCTCTGCTTCTATGGAGTTGAGTGCAACATAGTTTATTCAACTTCATATATCACAGTACAAATATTGATTAAATATGTTAGTGAGGAGTGGGGTTGCTTTCTAATCCTAGAGTGGCTTGGGCTAGAAAGGGACCTGTAAAGATCTGTTCCAACCCACCTGCCATGGGCAGGGATCTGCTGGATTGAAGTGGGTGCTGGTGCCGGTTGCTGATCTTAAACCTGATTGATATTGCTGTGAATGCAAGCTTATCTTGCTCAGGGAGGACTCGGCTGTCTAATAGATTCCTGACGGGGGCAGCTTCTAGGTGCTGAATTCAATTGATACCAGAATATAAAAAAATGAAAGAAAGAGAGGGGAAAAAAAAGGAGCACAGAAATGTAAATATGTAACTCTTCAGAGAGGTGATGGTGCCATCCATCACCTCATCTAGTGTCCTGGAAGATATCCTGAGGGCCCTTCACTGGCTCTAACTATTACATCTATCATGATTGAAAACTGGATGTGTAATGGGCTATTGCAGAGGGATTTGGCTGGAAATCTGTTCACATTCAGGAACCATGCTGGGAATCGTTTTAGGTAGTCTGTCTGTGGGTTTCAATGCTCTCCAGCTGTGTGTCTGTTAGTCATAAACATGTTTTCTCCTCTTTCCTGCTAGCGAGGTGAGGAAGGAGTACGTACTGAGCATGCAGCAAATGGCGGAACTGACTTTCTTTAACAGCCACTTGCAGCAACCTTGGGCAGTGCTTATTGCCAGCATGGGTACAAAGTTTATAGACAAAGCTGGCAAACTTTTGTTCAGCTTTGCTTGCTCTGATTTTCATATAAAATGCAGCTTTTTCTAAGGAGAAAGACAAGTTGAAGGACTTGGGTTTTACAAATTGGCTCAAGATACCCCTTTCTGCTTTGCTTCTGGAGAGTAGAAATGGCACGTTGTGGTCCAGCCCAGCTCTGGGGGAAGAAAGGGGCTGTTCCTAGGAGGGTTTCCCATGCTGCCAGGCTTGCTGTGCACTGCTGTGGGCAGCTTTGGGGTGGGTGGTCTGGCTGGGACAAAGTAGAAGTCAAACACAAGTCAGAGAGGGATGAGTTTTCTCCATCTCCCAAAGGAAATGAAATATCTGTGGTCAAGAAACACGTGGCTGCTGTGGTGCTAGTGAGCTGGATGTAGAGCCTGAGCACATGTTTTCACATGGGAGCATCTTGCTCTGAAGAAGCAGCAAGCCACTCCTCCATCCTCCTTGGCTTCTTGTACATGGAAGTATTTAAGAAAACACCACAAAACCACACAAAACTCTTGTGAGAGGTGGAGTTGTGAGGAGTTTTCAAGCCAAGAAAATACACTGACTTCTCTGAAGGGTGAAAAAACAGAGATCCCTTCTGCCCTTCGGAAAGTGTGTAGGTCTGTGTCACTTGGGAAAGACCGAATCGGTAAAACTATAAAAAAAAAAAGGACTCAAAGCCATGTTAGTCAGTCTGTGAGCACAAATAAGAGAGCTTCACCAAGCCAGCATAAGAGTTGTACCTGTAAAGCAGTCATCCCTGCCACCAGCAGCTGGGCTTTCCTCTGTGGTGCTTGTTTTCAGACACAGAGAGGGGATGGACAATAACTGGGAGTGGTGCAGAAGCTCGGGACACCAGTTTTCTTTTTCTGGGGGAGGCCAGGAGCTACATGAATCATGCAAAATAAAGGCACAGCTCTGCTGTTGCAACCTTGTTTCAGAGCTCTATAGGAATGGTACCAGAGAGGGGACAGTGACAGATGGACCAAGTGATCTGAGATGGGGTTAGAGCTTGGTGTGGTGTGGGTTGTGCAGCTGCAGTACCTGCAGGTGGGAAATTGCTGCTCTGTAGGGTCCCATGGGCTCGTACTCTGTCTTCTGTGGTGTATATAATCCTCCTGATGGTCTGGGATTTGCCTGTAGCATTGCTGTTCCCTGTGGGTTTGTTTTCTGCATTCAACCATGCATACATTTGATGTTTGAGTTAAAAGCCTTTGTGAGGTAAAGGATGGGGGAGGGAAATACACTCCTGCAATAAATGGAGGAACTCAAAGTTAAAGAGGAGTTTAATTGATGTTTACTAGATAGGTTTCTCTAATAAATGAGAAAGTAAGCCTTGTCCCAGGTCCGGGTTGGGTTTTCTTCCACCTATACAGCTGTAAATTAGAAGCAGCAGTGTTGAATTAAATCCGGCAAAAGCACCACGCATGGGAGGTAAACTGAGCAAAGCCACTCTCTGGGAGCTTGTCATTTGTCCCTTCTGCACCAAGGCCCAGGGGAACTTGTGCAGCTGTATGTTTGTATTTGCCTGGGCAGGAGGTTGTGGATAGGTGAGGTTGCTCCAAAACTAAGGATTTCACAGGGAGGGATGATCTGTCTGTGGCTCTGTTTGTATTACCTGAGGTGAGCAAAGGAAACTTGTCTTTATTCTTCATTCCTCCTGCCTGAATGTGAAGTTCGGGGATGGTGCTGTTTAGCTGCTGTGATGATGCTTCTTCTCCCAAATCAGTGTCTGATTGTGCTGTACACACTCAAAAATAAGAGCCTGTTTTTACTTTCTTGCTCCTGCTGTCCTAAATTGACCTAAACTTCCAATGAAAGGCTGAAGCCTTAGCCCCCCAGGCAAGATTGGTCCATGTGCTTCCTGCCACACATAAATGTGAATCAGGGACCTGAAAAGGGACCATAAATCCCTACTTGTGTGGCTGGCACATGTTGTACTGCTGCCACCAGGCATCCAGCCTGGTGACTGTCCCATGGAGCAGAGCGAGGATTCATAGCTGCAAAAGCTGAGGCTGCCCCTGAAGTCTGCTTCTCTCTGCATCTGAGCTGATGAACCCCAGCAGGGCTGTACTGGGTTGAAGGGATGTTCTTGCTGTGCCAGGCTGTCAGTGCACACACCTTGCCTGTGCCTGTGGGCACAGACAGGGCCTCACACAGAAACCACCAGTGATGGCCAAGGACCACTTGAACATGGGGGCGAGGTTCCTCCCATGGACTCTGTCCTCTCCTAATACCTTGCTGTCACCTTTGTGCTTTCCCAGATCACTGCCTGCCCACAGCTGATGAGCCCACTTCCCCAAAGAAGGCAAAGAGCATCTCTGAGTGCCGTGACTTGGAAAGCTGGTTCTCACCTCCTTCCCCTGAGTGGGCCACCGTGAGGGTCATCCCTGAGGAGGAGATGACGGAGCACAACCTTCTCGCTATCCGAGTCATGGTCACCAGTGACACAAGCAGGTACTTTAAAATACAAGTAAGCCTATAAAATAACCTGTAAGAGCTGCTTGGTTTTCTCTGGAACACTAAGGAAAAATATAGCAAAATACAGTACAGAATGTATGTACAACTCGGGGGGGGGGGAGGGAGGGAGGAAGGAAGGAAAAGACAAACCTCTCAGAATAACAACTGTTCTTTACCGCAGCCATAAATCCCCAAGACACATGAGTCACTCTGCAACAAATCTTCAAACATTTGCATCCCACACAGGGGCCTGAATCAGAGGGAAAAACATTGTCCTGATCAGCCCGGGTTCAGCTCTTTGTGCACTGAAATACGTCGGATCAGGGATTAGGGCAGCGGGTGTGCCTATGGCAAAAGGTGCATCCTGTTGTGTGGCTGCCTCCCACCTCAGGCATCATCCTGCAGCTCCACACCACAGGCCTCTCCCAGCTCCTGCCCACCCCTAAGAAATCTGAAATTTGATGACCCCTGGGGAGCTGTCAGAGGAAGCCCGATTTCTGTGTGCAAATTAGAATGTATTGGCTTTCTGGGCAGGATGCTGTAGGAGTTCATTCCGTCTAAGGATTAGATGGATATCTAGGGACTAAAGCAGTTCTCCTTGCTGAGAACTAAAATAGAAGAGGGAGAGCAGGGTGGGGGAAAGGCAAAAAACAAATCAGGGTGAACCCAAAGCCAACTGTTGCAAACACTAAGCTATTGCTCTGTAAGGATGCTCATTCAAATTCTTGATGTCCTTTAAACACCTATCTGTGATGCTGTGTGTGGTTTGTGGAGAGTCACACTTTCAGAAATGCAACTTTCTATTCCCTACAGTGGTTTTAAATGGCTTTTGTGCTCTGCTGCCTGGGTCTGGAGAAGGAGGAACCTCTCCAGAATTCCTCTCCCACAGGACACAGGGTTTCCTACCTGCTTGACAGACCCTCTGCAGAGCTTGTACTTGTATCCCTCACCAATACCCTCTGGCTTGTGGTGTCCGCTCCGCCCAGGCAGCAGTGAGAGTCAGCTAATCCCTCTGATCTGAGGGATCAGCTCCCTTCACTTTCATAGCCCTTGTGGCCAGGTAGCAGGGCCCCTGGTTTCCTGCCAGGGGTGACACCACAGCTATCACCCCTGAGGTCAGCCCCCCACTGCTGTGGTGCTCTCCAGAGGCCAGCCCCTGCTGAAAAATGGGGCACGAGAGAAATAGTAAGTGACAAATAGCACTGCTGAGCTGGCTGTGGGGCACTTAGTGGGATGGGGAAAACCACCAGCTCAGTGACGTGGTTCTGCAGCTCAGGCTTAAGGTACTTGTGGATAATGACCACCTAGCAAGCAGAGATCGGAGGAGAAGCTGTAGCTCGCACTATAGCACTTACCTCCTTGCCAGCCAAGGAAAATAAACATTTTGCTCTTTAAAACAGAAATATATCAATCAATGTTAATGGCAGGTCTTTTTCTTTTGTGTGGCACTCTGCCCAATCTCAGTGTGGTATCTCTCCATCCACACAGGATCTCAACTATCAAAGACTTCATATATTCGTATTTTTAACTATATCTCTCTCTATGCTCGACACAGCTTGAAAGACATCTTAAAAGTGCATGTTAGTGCTGAAACTTAAGGCCATGCTGATTCAGCCTACTGAGAGAGCAACGCACCTGGAGCTGTGCTCCCATCCTTGCCTCCCAGCACTGCTCGTTTGAACTGGGCAAAGCCAGGATGGTGGGCGCTACCCATCTGGCGTTTACCCTGGCTTTATACAGACTGCAGCCTTTTCTTTAACTCTTATTTCTCCTGTCTCCTGGGCTGTGCCTTGGGCTGTTACAGTCAATCTTTACTTTCTACAAGGTCGTGCTGTATAAACACCAAACAGCTTTCTCCTGCCATGCCAGCAGGACTACTCATGGCATAAGCTCTTCTTTTTTAAGGTAGAGCTATTAGTAGTCATGATAAATATATGAATTAGGTTAGCAGTATTGTTTGCATTAGAAACATGCAGAGTGGGATGGTGGGATGTGACTGGGAACATGGTCACATCAGAAGGCCTCAAAGTGCCTGTTGCCAAGGTGAGCAGCTCCAGTGAGGCCACGAGGCAAACAGCTCCCAGGAGCCTGTTCCTGCCGGAGCAGTGTCACGAGGCAGCTGTGGAGGTACTGGCACCACCACTGCTTGCCAGGTGATGTGTGCTCAGCTGCCACCAGAGAGGGGAGCTGGTTCCACATCCCACATGGGCAATGAGGCCAGGTTCAGCAATAACTGTATTTAATTTGAGGGTGAAGCCCACCTCACAGTCAGAGCAAGCTGCTCTGACCGATCAGGACTTGGCCTCCAGTGAGTTCTTTCTCTATGGTATACCTCCGATTTCCAAAAAATCTAAGGGGGGAAAAGGTAAAAATGTAGTGTTTTGTCCCTTGTGCCTTGTTTCTAGGCCAATTACAGTATTGCAAATGCTGTTTACCTCTCTTCATCCTGGTGTACAGCCTTGCAGGCAGAAGGACCCATCCCTGCTAACCAAGAAGTGGTATTTCACCAAAGTTTGTCTCGGCAGCAGTTTGATTTCAGGTGCTGAAAGTAAAGGTTGTGGGCATGAATCCAGGCAGCAGAAGTCTGATGGGAATAGGTGTAGCTCAGCTGTGTTGCACCTAGAGCAAATTACAGGCCTGTAATAATAGCAGTGAAAAAGAGCAAAATGAGGATGCTGACTCTGGCTGCAAAAACACCTATTTCTCTGTGGCCTGCATTGCTGTCAATGCTTGCTGCACTGAAGGGGAATGAATACCTCCATGCCATGCATCTTCTGAAATGTCCTGCTTTCTTTCCATCTTGCCCTGTTACCCTGTAGCTCCGAGCTGGAGGAGTCTGATTTTAACGGCGACTCATCAAATTCGGAAGTGAACGGAGGACAGACCTTGCTGCTGGAGCTCCCCACCTGCCCGAGCCCCGTCCAGAGGTGGGCATCGCTCACCAGGAGCTCTGTGGCAGTGGAGGAAAGCCCCAAAACATCCAAAGTTGCTGATGGTAAGCAACGTCCTGACCTGAGGATGCTCCAGCAGCCTCTCCTGAGGGATGAAGTCAGGGATGGGGGGAGTGGAGGCTGTTGCCTGCAGTGTAGCCAGGTTGAACCTGTTAAAGATGTCTTCGTTTGGGGGTTTCTACCTTTCGGGCGCTGTAACTGAAACACCATTTCCAAGATGCAGTGTAACCCAGAGTACTTGTGCCTCACCCTTAGATTGCAGGGTGGGAAGAATGTTTTCCTACTGGTAAAAATTTGGGATGTTATTGGCAGTATCCACAGTGTTGCCTAAGGAAGGGCGATGTTGGGAAGCAATAGAGAGTTCTGCTTGGCTAAATTAGTATTTCTACCAGTAGCTGCTTAAAAATTTTGTGTCAGGTGAAAGCACAAAGGATGTAGCTAGCAGAGAGGTGGGGAGAGGTTTGGGAACAGTCTGCTTCCAAATAGAAACTCATTTCTGGAGCTGCGGAAGGTCAGAACTAAAAGATGTGCTAAAAACAGCCGAAGAAATTGTTTTGCAGAAAATAAAAGGCCATCGGCATTCATTTCTTCCCATGTCCCACCACCCCCACATCCATATATGCATTTTTAATCCAAACAGAAAAGAGGGGATTTCATACAGCAATTTAAATTGACTCTTCAATAATGGAGCACTTGTTTAGGGCACGAGAAAAAAAGGACAGCGGCAAACCCTAAAGTGTGCCCAGCAGTGTGTGGTGCCATGCAGCCACTGAAGGATTTTATCCTTTTTCTTCCGCAATTCCATGTTCTCCTCCACACCCAGCTGCTGACACCTTCCTCCCTGCAGTCGCTTCCTTCCCACCATACCAGCCGGGTTATCTAGATCTTCACGAGCAGCTTGGCTCTCAGAAGGATCTACGTGAGCTCCTTCCCTCCGGGCCTGTCCCTGCCTCCCGCAGCGGGGCCGGTGGCGGGTGCGCGCTGCCCCCTCCCGGCCGCCGCAGCTGGGAGAGGGCTCGGGAAATCACGGCTCGGGTTTGGAGGTTTTGTTGTCGCCGTCGTCCGCGTGCCCCTCCTCCCCTTTTTCCCTCCTCTGTTTTTGCTGTGCTATCTGACCAGGTGTTTTTCCTGTTTCTGTTCAGCACTGCAGAGAGCCAACAGTTTTCACTCAACCGCGTTAAATAAGTATCAGAATTGGAGGAGAAAACTCCAAACGAGTGAGTGAAGCCCGAGAAGCAACTGTGTCTTGAATTTGTGCTGTCTTCTCTGTTCTGTCTCTTAAATATGCTTCTCCTCCTTTCCTTTGGAAGTTTTGTAATTTTGAGTCACTACACAAGAAAATAGAGATCTAAAATGCACCAAGTACTTCTTTTCCCTTCTGTAATCCTCAGAAAAATCAAATTCCCCGTGTGGCTGTTCCCTATATTATTACATGCATCAGCAAGTGGTGTCTGCTCTAATTCTCCAAGAAAATGCACCCCTATCCCAGAGCCATGTATTCTCTGTCTAGCCCTGCCTGCACTGATTGCTTTTGCTCGGGTGTAACATTGGCTCTAACATCATGAGTATCACTTATTAGGGATGCTCCTGGAGGTGCCTATTTACACTCAACTACAGGTGCTCTATCAATTCTTTTTTGTTGGAAAAAAGAAACAGGTGATGTTTCTAGGTTACAAAAAGGGAGGGATTACTAACAGCCATCCCAAGAGGTGACTTGGTGAACATAAGTGTTACTAGTTCTTGTCCTCTAGCAGTTTGACTTGGTTTGGGCTGACCCATCTCTGCCCATGCACAGGAATGCAGAGATTTCGACAACAATTGGGTCTGCCACTGCCAAAACACAGTGCAGTCACCCCTAGCAGCTGAGGCTCCATCAAGGTAAACTTTCTCCTGGGCTGCAGTCCCAAAACAGGCTATCCATCCTTGGTCACACCTCTGCTGCTCATAACAGGGCTGCCTGCCTGCCGTGGCACAGCCCCTCTGCAAGCACACACAGTGCCTGCCCAGTCCCCGCTAAGGACTCACAGGTACCTGCCAGGATTGATTATACCAGTATGGGAGCTGGGTGAGCTTACCAGGATCCCAGATCCTCCCAAAAGCTTTCCTGTCCTTGCTAAGGATTCACAGATACCTTCCAGGTCTGATCATACCAGTATGAAAGCTGGGTGAGCTTACCAGTATCCCAAATCCTCTCCAGACTTCATTAGAAATGCAGTCATAGCTGTTAGACTGGGGTGTTGACAGCCTTAAGTATGAAACACGAATGTACAGCAGTGGAAGGAAGGGATATGAGGACATGACTGAGTGCCACAGTTTCTGGGCATGGAGACAGTGGCTTTTGGGCAATGGTGGTGACAGCAGCTCTTTAATCCTGCCCTCTGCAATGAGGGGGTTTTCTGCTGCTGCTCAGAGTACCAGTTGTCTTTAGAGAAGTTAAGACTCTGCTCCCAAAACAAGTAGGAATCCTGTGTGTGTTACAGGACTCAGAATTCAAGCAGAGGCATTTGGGCTTGCTTGATTTGAATGTACACCAGGCTTTAAGATTATATGCAAGTACCCACTATGGGATGAATTTTTATACCTCAAAAGAGGAGACAAGCTGCATCTCTCCTTCCTGGCACAGGACTCGCCTCAGTCAAATGCCTGCAGGTACATGCGAGCACTGTCACCACCCACCCTTGGAGGCTCCCAATGCCAGGCATCTCGGATTACTCTGCAAATCTCGGTAGGGAATAGACAGGGCTATTTCACAGTCCTGAAAGGGTGCTCTCACCAAGCTTACCTTCAGCAGACCATCCCCTTTGATGGGCTGTTACCAGAGAGGCAGCAGTCACAGACAGATAAATGGGTCTTGATGGGGCTCTGTTTCCTAGGATTCACAGTACCTCTGAGTCCTGGGGACTTGCTGTGCTCTGAGAGGCCTCTCTGGAACAGCAAATGGAGTCACGGAATCATAGAATAGTTAGGGTTGGAAAGGACCTTAAGATCACCCAGTTCCAACCCCCATGCCATGGGGAGGGACACCTCACACTAAACCATGTCACCCAAGGCTTTGTCCAAACTGGCCTTGAACACTGCCAGGGATGAAGCATTCACAGCTTCCATGGGCAACCCATTCCAGTGCCTCATCACCCTCACAGTAAGGAACTTCTTCCTTATATCCAATCTAAACTTCCCCTGTTTAAATTTGAACCCATTACCCCTTGTCCTGTCAATACAGTCTCTAATGAAGAGCCCCTCCCCAGCATCCTTATAGGCCCTCTTCAGATACTGGAAGGCTGCTATGAGGTCTCCAAGCAGCCTTCTCTTCTCCAGGCCGAACAGCCCCAACTTTCTCAGCCTGTCTTCATACAGGAGGTGCTCCAGTCCCCTGATCATCCTCGTGGCCCTCCTCTGGGCTTGTTCCAACAGTTCCATGTCCTTTTTATGCTGAGGACACCAGAATTGCACACAATACTCCAGGTGAGGTCTCACAAGAGCAGAGTAGAGGGGCAGGATCACCTCCTTCGACCTGCTGGTCCTGCTCCTTTTGATGCAGCCCAGGATACGGTTGGCTTTCTGGGCTGCGAGCGCACACTGAAGCCGGCTCATGTTCATTTTCTCATCGCCCAAGACCCCCAAGTCCTTCTCTGTGGGCCTGCTCTGAATCTCTTCTCTGCCCAACCTGTAGCTGTGCCTGGGATTGCTCCAACCCAGGTGCAGGACCTTGCACTTGTCATGGTTAAACTTCATGAGGTTGGCATCAGCCCACCTCACAAGCGTGTCAAGGTCCCTCTGGATGGCATTCCTTCCCTCCAGTGTATCAACCGAACCACACAGCTTGGTGTCATCAGCAAACTTGCTGAGGGCGCACTCAATCCCACCGTCCATGTCAGCGACAGAGATGTTGAACAAGACCGGTCCCAACACCGATCCCTGAGGGACACCACTCGTTACTGGTCTCCAGCCGGACATTGAGCCATTGACCACAACTCTTTGTGTGCGACCATCCACCCAGTTCTTTATCCACTGAGTGGTCCATCCATGAAATTGATGTCTCTCCAATTTAGAGACAAGGATGTCTTGTGGGACAGTGTCGAATGCTTTGCACAAGTCCAGGTAGATGACATCAACTGCTCTACCCCTGTCCATCAGTTCCGTAGCCCCATCATAGAAGGCCACCAAATTGGTCAGGCAGGATTTCCCCTTAGTGAAGCCATGCTGGCTGTCACCAAGCACCTTGTTGATTTTCATGTGCCTTAGCATGCCTTCCAGGAGAATCTGCTCCAAGATTTTGCCAGGCACAGAGGTGAGACTGACTGGTCTGTAATTCCCCGGGTCATCCATTTTCCCCTTCTTGAACATGGGGGTTATATTTCCCTTTTTCCAGCCATTGGGAACTTCACCTGACTGCCATGATTTTTCAAATATGATGGACAGTGGCTTTGCAACTTCATTCATCAGCTCCTTCAGGACCCGCGGGTGGATTTCATCAGGTCCCATGGACTTGTGCACGTTCAGGTTCTTAAGATTGTCTCGAACCAGATCTCTCCTTCAGTGGGAAGGCTGATCCATGCCCAGGATGGGGAGGGAGAAAAGTCTCATGGCATCTTTGTCAATTATACTTATTACAGGTTTGATGGGAGGAAAAAAGAATCATTGAGAGGAAAGAAGAGAAGACTGTGGGTCACTCTTAATTTCAACTCATTTCCGGCTTGTTCTTAGCAAGGACATTACCTAATCGTTTCCTAATTCATTTTCCCATCATTTTATTAAAATCTTCCATGTGCCTAAAGGGCTCTAGAGGGAGCTACAAGCCTTTGAGAGGGAAGCAATGCACTGCGTGAATTTGAAACTTCAAGTATGCTGTTAAAGCGCATGTAAAGCACATTCAGTGTATACTGGGAACAGAATAAACGCTTTTTTTTACTCTCTGGAGGATCACTAAGTCTTAGTTTTTATATTTAATCCACTTAATGTTTGGTTATAAGAATTCATATGATCATCAGTCCCATGAAAGAAAAAATCCGTCTTCTTTTCGGACTTATTTCCCAAAACACGTATGTTTCATAAACAGCACAAGGTACGTGGCCAAGGAAAGGAAATCGGTATCATAGTTATATTGGCTGAAAGGCTCAGAGCAGGATATTACCTTTCAAGATCTTTAATCCCTATCCCATGGCCACAGGGAATACTGTGTTCCTAATTTATCTTGGTGACTTGGAGCAGCTTTTGGGTCAAACAGATCATGACGGTGCCCTAGGGAGCTGCTTTTTTTTTTTATTTTAGATCCTGTTTTGAATGTGAAGCTGCAAATTCAGCATCTTGGTGGGAATAAATCCAGCACTGGAATAGGTTGCCTGGTGATGGAGTCTCCTTCCCTGGAGATATTTGAAGCTGTCTGGACACAATCCTGAGCAGTGTAGGTGACCCTGCTTGAGCAGGGAGGTTGGACTAGATGACGCTCGGCGGTCCCTACCAGCCTCAACCGTCCTCTGAGTCTGTGAAAGCCAGCAAGCTATGGCTTTGCATGGAGCAGTGCTCCTGCATGTGCAGGTCCTGTCTGTGTAAGCACATGCACACCCACAGGAGCTGTTGTAGGGAACAGTTGTTCCCATGGGCATGTGCCGCTTCCCCGCTGACCCCTGGCTGTGGGGTTTATGCCCTTGTTGGTGTTATGGCTGTTGCTGCTGCAGCGGTTGTATTTCCCCTGCTATGCTGAGTTATAACATTTGCCTGTGTCAGGGTTTTAGTGGATCAGGCTAAACCTGTTTGGCTCATTTATGCAGGTGATGGTGGGATTTTTTGTCCTAATTCTTGATTTTCCTGTTTTCCCATGACTTAATTCACTTTACAGAACATAAAGGTCATCCCCTGGTTGCTAGTCCCTGCAGGAGTTCCTTAACGAACTCCAGTTCATCATTTCCCTCTGCTCTTGACAAAACATGACAGATTTAATCAAGATTGGGAGCAAATAGTTGAGACACTGAGAGGAAAGGAAAGTTGGGCCTCTCTTCCTGGCTTGTCTCTTCTAAAGTCTGCTGTCTACTTTCTCTGGTGTGTTGCTTGTGTCCTTACGCATATTTAAATTCCTATGTAGAAGATTCAAAGTTTGCTTTTGGAACCTTTGTGGGTTTCAGAACTAATAATTGGGAGTTAATAATTCACCTATAAATATACTTGTCATAGTTTGTTACAGCTTGACATGGTAATATCTTGGCTCACGGATAGTTTTGTTCTGTCCAAAGATTATTTATTATGTAAAGTTCCCACAGGCACAAATATTAGAGAGCCCCCCTGACTCCCTACTTTTTCTTCCAGCAGGTCTATCGGTGCTAGTTTTGGTTCAAGGCCTCTAGCAATTAGTTCCCTTGTCTGCTCCTAGGAGAGCTCCCAGCATGCTGTTCTGTTTGCCTGGCTTGGGAGACCACAGGATTATTTCTATCCTTACTGCCTGCAGGTGGTTGCATGTCCCATTCTCTCCCATTCTGACAGACAGCCTTCTTGGAAGTCATCCATTTTCTTCATTTCTCGGAACTGCCCAAAGCTTCCAGAGTTGCTGGTTGTTTTGACTGCCTCTGCTTTTAAGGCTGGTTTTCCAGAAAGTTTCCCGGAACTCTAAAGCCGTTTTACTAGGTCCAGCCAAAAAGTGGATGCAGTTCAGGACCACTGCTAAAAATACCAATGTGTGTTTGGCACAGCATGCCCACACATGTGAGTGAGGCCATAAACTTCATTACTGAAAGGTCAGCTCTTCAGGTACAACTGTGTCCAGATGACTGTTTAACTTTCTGTTCTTGTTCTTTAATTTCAAACTTCATTTAAGACAAAACCAGTATCAATGTGATGGAAAAAATGTGTGTCTTTGGCAGGCTTCCCATTACTGTGCAGCAAGAAACCTGGGCCACATGGGAAGGACAGCTCAGCCAGCTGTCAAAATGGTCCTGGAGAGAATCCCTCCCAAACACAGGTACAAAGGAGAATTGCGTAGAGCAAAACACATGTAGCTGCTGTTGGGTATCTCTGCTCTCAGCAGGCTGTCTGAGCATCCTCTGCTCTTTCAAATGGTTTTGATCCTCACACTAACCACTGAAGTTGGAGTTATGCCTGTGCTGCACAGAGGGAAGAGACTTTGATGCTCTGATGGATTAGCCATTCCCAAATCATGCACTGAAGTCACATTTTGCTGTGGGACTCAGACCTTGATCGCACTGGGAGTTAGTCACTAATCTGTTGCATCAGTCAACATATAGGCACCACCAGCCTGCCCTGGGATTTCCTTTGTGCCACAGTTTCTGCCCAAAGGAGAGGAAATCCCCCAAACCTCTGTTCCCTGGTGCTCCCAAGCTGCCTGTTGGTCTGTGTGCTCGTAGGGTTGGATGGAAATGTGGCATGCTGGCAACGTGGTGGGGTGCAAGGGTATCACTTGGTTGCTGTATATCACTGGGAAAAAGACAAGTGCCATCACCAGCCTTAGGGAGTAAATACAGGAGTCAAGCTAAGGGCTCGCATAATGACAACTGTAGGAAACCTGGTATAAGAGTCTGGGGTATTTCAGGCTGTTACAGCCCCTAGAAGTAGGTGTTCCTGTGTCTGATGTTTATTCTTTGTGTCTGGTGGGCAACAGCCTTTCTTAATTTGCAGCATGCCCTTGGCTCCACACCTCCCACAGCTCAAGAACATCCTCAGCTTCCTTCAGGACCTAGGTTTTCCATTGCATTTTCTGAGGTTTTAAATTTATGGGGTGTTTTAGGCTCGAGGTATGGTGGGGCTGCTCTTTGTGCAGTGCTGCAGCAGGAGTCGTGACCTGCTGCATCCCAGGCAAAGGGCAGCACGTCCCCTGGACTTGGAGCTGGGTGGAGTGGGAACCAGCTAATGTCCTCCTCGTCCTAGCCAGTTGTCCTCACCCTTGGGTTAAACATGATTAAAATTGCTTGACCTCAGGGTCTGCATTAGAAAATAATAAAGTCTCCCACGTCCATGGTGGTATTTGAAATGCGGTCCAGGACAATAGGGCCAGGAAGGGACTGTCCCATGGGAACAGAGCTGCACAATGCTGCTTCACCACGCTGCGCACGAGGAGAGGTGACTCTGCAGCTCCCACTCCAGAAGCAGTGCTTAGCAGCCTTAATCCTCTCTCTCTTTAGAATAGAAATAAGAGGGTGCTCATTTATTTATTAGTGTTTCGCATGTTTTTCTGTCTGAAATACTGGCCAATATTAACTTTGGTCAACAAATACAACTGTGAAACAGGGTAATCATTATTTCCTTACTTCCCATGTTTCTGGGAAACAAGAAGTCAGATGGATTAGCGGCTTCACCCATGTAGATTTGGGAATCTGGCACATAAATAGAAACAGGAATTGAATCTTTGCACCATCCATTATCACATAGCATTGAGGTTAAAACACCTCCATTTTTAGAAAGACAGAAACCCCCAACCCTCTAGTTTTGATGTGCTGGCTAGATAATGTGGTCATTTCTCCTTGTTACTATCTCCAGCAGAAGATTTCAATGGCTAGGGTAATGAATTAAAACTTTAATTAAAGGAAAAGTAGTCATAAGAGAGAACTAATTGAATTGTTTAAAATTACTGTCTTACATTTAATGATCTTTTCTGGGTCAGGGTCACTTCGTACTTATGCTATGTAAACATGCAATATTATAGAAGCAGTTGGAAAGATGGCTGATGGTCTCTTGGGCTTGCTGGAAACACTAAGGTAATGCAACTGGAATGTACACAGGAGGAAAGAGCAGATCTGTTCTTGTTTGTTTTCCTATAGATATAGGACTATTTCTTTCTGAGGAAAACACTGAAGGCACTTCGTAAAGATATGACAGGTTCTTAATGTGAATGTTATTTTTAGACTATTAATATTTCCAGTAAGATTAGATCTCCACTCCTAGGGAAATATTAGCCATTTAGGGAGAAAAACTTTTCTTACTGTATTGTCATCTAAATAAGTATATACATTATGCATATATATATTAGATATATATACATGCATATATATGAGTATATACATTAACTAGTATTATGTTAAGATTAAAATTTATGAAAATATTACATGAAATAAAAGATAAACTAAACTATCTTTTTCTATCCCTAAAATATTCTTTTTCATGCACTTCACAGTTGGCTCATAAGAAACCACCGGAAATCACAAGAAGACATTTCAAACCCTACAGCCCAGTATTTCAAAGAAAAGAAAAAGCCAGAGAGATGCATGAAGACATCCATGTCTATGTGCCCCATTGTTCTCCTTTTCAGAGCAGTACCAGAGGTTCCCCATGGACCCCTCCTGGGAATGGGACACTGGCTGATTTTTCTGAGGCTGAAGATACAGATAGTGACAATGGGACATACAAAGCCCAGGGCTGGAAGGAAGAAACCCAGAAATATACTTCTGAACCAGAAGATATTATTAGGAAGACAAAAGTGCTGTCATCTCTGGATTTGCAGGAGAAAGATGGCAAAAATACAAGGCACCCAGAAGAAAAGCTTGAGCAAGAACTAAAGGAGGCAAAAAAGAGGCCGGTGCTATGTGCTCAACAGCTGCCCTTGTCATATGATTCTAACAGGACAGACTTAGGCAGAACTAGCTCAGGGTATCAAAACAAAGGAGTGCTGTGGACTTCACAGGAGAACAATGCTGACTGGGCAAAAGTTGTGTTCAAACAGTCTGGTTGTCCTGTGCCTCTCTTATTTGCTGATGATGCTCCATCAGCTTTGCCAGTTAACACAAAAGATGCTCTGAGGAGTCCAGATGTAGTTGCCAGGGAGCTTGCAGCTGGCCCACCAAAGTCACCACTGAAGCTCATAGCCAATGCTATCAAAAGGTCCGTTTTTGAGCCTCTGACCTCATCTTCAGAGGGACCAAAGCAAGACTCAAACAGCAAAGTCAGAGTCTCCTCAGAAAAAGGTTTCTTCAGCCTCCCCAGTACTCCTGGCTATTCCCTAAGCCAAAGGAACAGTAACAATAGCTGGGGAAATAACACTCAGCCACCAGAGCTTAAAGCAGGGGAGTGGGCAGGAGAATATTTAGGAAATGGGAGCAATTTCTCAAATTCATGTAATTTTTCTGTTGTCTCTGAAGAGAGATCTCCAAGGGGTTACAACAAGGAGGTATCCTTCCCAGTTTACAGTTCTCACACCAGGTCTTCCCAGACAGCCAGTATACCTCAGAAATCAACTTGCACTAGGATGGAGGATGTTCCAGGACTCCTAGAAAAGTTTACCTTCAAAGATACTCTTCCAGGGGCTCCCATGGATGACATGTTTATCTGTAATGAAAAGTACCTCCTTCTTTCATCTCCAGAGCCCAAGAACACCCCCAAGGACAATCTGAATGACTCTGCACAGAAGAGTAGTCTTGGGTCCCTCTTTGATAGACTGAGAAGTAAAGTTCATGACAGAGAAGGGAATTCCTTTGTGTCATTTCTGCCTTTTGTGAGGGACCATTCTCCAGAAACCAGGCTCTGTTATCCTTCCACAGGTGAGGCCCCAGTTGAATTATTATTGTTATGATGATGATTTAATAGCAGCTAACATTTAAAATATCTCTGTGCGATCACGCAAACACCTATCTGTTGTATGCTATGTTTAATTTGTAGTTACTTTCTACACATGAAGACTTATTAAATCTATTTTTTTTGGTTAAGGTTTAGGACCTGCTTCTGGTTTAAAGGAGCAGAATGGATTTGCAAGCAGCACACAGCTTGCTGGCCCCAAGTTTGGTCTGCTGCTTGATGCTGTTCAAATATGTTTAGGTCAGACAAATGTGCTGGTCAAGGTGGAAGGAGTGGTTTGGCAGCGGGGTAACTGCTGCTGTGACCCTGGGTGTGTGGTGGTAGGGGGACTGCAGCAGACAAGCAGAAGGACAAGCACTGAAAACTCAAGTGCAGTGCAGAGTACATTTGCTACTCTTTCCATGAGGAGCTCAGAGGCTGAAGCAGTATGTTTGCAACAGCAAGCAGCTGTGCTTTGTGTATGTGCTTCCTCAGCAGGTGTCTCTTCAGCTCTGTCTACTGTTGTGTGACCAAACTGTAGAACTGCTTTAGGGACCCTGTGGTTTCATTAATATGCCCTTGTTCTTTTATGTGAGAGGAGATATAGCTCCTTACTGACCTACTCTGGCCTACTTGTGAGTCTGGGCAGCGATTAAAAGGCATCAATTTTCATGTTTGCTTGGAAGAACAAGGTTAGTACTAAAATTGCAGTCCAAGCTCAGAAATATTGATGTCAGAGACAAAGAAGAGTCCAAGTAATCTGAGCATAGGCTCAAAAAGAATTAAGTGCAGTACAGTTTCAGGTCTGAAATATAAGGTATGAGAGCCTTACCACTGTGATCCATCTTTCCACTACTCCATTGGAGAAAGTCAGTTATTTAACTATAACCTATTGAATTTTGACTTACCTGTTTGTTTCTTACTTTATTAAATTACAACCCAAACTGTAACCCCAAAATTGCTGCTGTATTGCAGCATTAAAATAACAATCTGTATATAAAATGTGAAGTCACTGAAGTTCCCAGTAAGCAGCCAGAGCCTTTTTGCATCTTTTTTGCTTCAGAACTACTGCATACTGAAAGAGACTTGATAATTAATATTGATTAAATATCATTGAAATTGATACAATAACTCCTGTTCTTATTCCTGAATGTTTGGATTGGATTCTTGGGGGCATCCTTTACCTAACAACTCACAAAACTAGGCATCCCCATTGTGCCAGAGTATGCTAAGGACTGCACTGAACCCACAGAGAGTTGCTGGTGTTCTCACTAGTCATGCTGTGGTCTTAAATGGGGAGCTTTTTCTGAGTCTATGAGTAGTCATTATCTATCAACTAAGTCAAGCTGACTTGCTTTTAACAAAATGTATTACAATAATTGGTATGTGGTGTTCCTATGAAAATGGGAAAAGCTCTTGTTAGGTTTGAATATTGCTTTGCTTTATTTATGTTTTAAATATTTTGGAAAACATGCTGGTTTAATATGTGTTGCTTTCCTCTGCTGTGCAAGCCAAAACAGGAATGATTAAATTATTATAATTATTGAATATAAGCATTGCAAAGTCTGTTCAGAGGAAAAAATGCAGCTTTGATCTAGCCATTTGTCCAGGAATCTGTCATCCTCAGTGTTTCAACATTGAACCTCCCTGAACTTTTTCAAACCTTAATATTTGAGTAAATTAAACTCATAAAAGAGCCAAGTCCTGCTTGACTCTCTCAAATGGCATTTCTGTCTCCTACTGGCACTTGTCTGAGGCTCAGGCTTGGCAAACTTCATGAAGTGATGGTGAGCTTTAGCCCACATTACGTCATTATTTTTCTCTCTTGAAATTTACCATGAATCTCAGAAAATTTCTTTTCTTTAAAGAGAAAAAAATACTCCCAGCATCTGGCAGAAACCAGTTTAATGAGGCTCTTTCTCATACTCCTCCTGGCTCTTTCCAGTAGGGCTTTTCTATCCTATTTGAGGCCAGGCTCATTCTGTGCAAGTATGGTGGGTCTCACATTACACTGGTGTTTTCTCCCTCAATAGGCTGCTGGCTTGTGGAGCCAAAGAATGAGCTGGGTGATTAAAGTGCAGGGCTTGAGATGAGACTGGCTGAGCTCACTGGGGAGTAACCAAATGCTTAGAAACCACTTCCAATTTAAAAAGCTCCTGAATTGAAAAATGCTTGGAGGCTGGGTGAGTGTCACAGGAGGAATCATGTATGACTCCCTGGTGTCTATAGTGTTCCTTTAGACATCCGCTGCTGGGCAGCCTGGAAGGACCATCAGTCTCGCTCTACCCATCTACTTCTGTTATGTTGCTCATCTTTTCTTACACCTTATCTTAGTTATGTTACCTGCAAATACACATCACAATGTCTATCCTGTGCTTATGACTTCTGCATTACAGACCCAGGTGTCTGTTCAAACTAAAACTGTATTCTGTCCTTCTGTCACTTCCTGCCAAGTGTCCAGCCACCAGGACAGCATGAGGGTCAGCATGAGGAAGCAGAGATCTTAATTGCTCAGAAGCAGATTACCTGTAGCTCAAACTTATGCCTGCATTACACCTTCCATATGGGTCTTTCCAGCTTCTGATATCCAGACCTGGTCTAAAAGCTTTCAGGCTAACACTTCGTAAGAGCCATTCCTCAGAGCCACTTGGCAATTTTGGACTGTGTAGAGGTCCGGCTGCACAGGCTACCTGTGCGGGACATAGACAAATCTTACTGAAGTAATGGGGGTTCATGTGCTGTTTTCAGTGAAAGAATGAGTTTTTTAAAAAGTAAAACCCTGTCCAAGTTTGCCAGTAGAATATACAAACGTCTCCAAATGACCACACTGGAGTTTCCAGGTGCAATGCCGGACTTCTGATTTACTGCACAAACATCTTTGAGGCTTTTATCTGTTGACTCATCCTTTGTGTTCCAACCTGTGGTTGAAAAAACCCAGACTTGATCCATAAAATTGATCAATCAGGTTGTTAACTGTTTTCTCGTACTTTTGACTGTCAGACTTTCAGAGGACCAGACCATGAAGGTGGTTGGTTACTGGTAGATGTTTGTGACTCCAGGGTTGCTTCTTTGTAGTAGTGGAGATGGGAGGAATATTTCTGTCCCTGACTGAGCAGGGATCATGTGGAAACATGCATTCCGAGAACTGTCCCTTAGCTGGGAGTTGTTATAACTCAGTTTGTGGCTGTGTGTTGTTTACATGGCTCACTTCATTTAGCAGGACAACCAGTTCTGCCGATCAGAAAATTAGATGTGTTATGAACTCACTTTGCTGGTTTTGTGCACTTCCAGATTGAAAAGGCATTTCTTGCAAGTATTTCAGGTTCACACATGGTTCCTATTACTGCATCTTTGAATCACTGAAATTCTGTGTGTTGGTAATGTTATTGGCAGCTAGGACACTGTTATCTTGGTGATTTTGTGTTTTAGAAGAGGACTGAGGCACTACAGGATTAAATTTCAGGCCTAAGACCATATGAGAAATCTATGGAGAAGCAGAGATGTGAAGCCCACTCTTGATTTCTACTGGCCTTTTCATCTCCTGCCTCATGCCAATTCCTGTCTGGTTTGGGACACCAGTGCCCAAGAGATGTGTGTGGCTTTGCCTCTCTTTTGTAAAACACTGAAGTACTTAAAGTGGTCATGATTAACACCAATAACTTTACAAAAATATGGAATCTTGGACAGTTACACAGGAAGCCAACAGATTAAAATAACACAATGCTATCAAAACAGTTCCTGCTCCAAGACTTTCTACGTATTTAGATTGCAGTTACTACCATGACACAGAAACACCCCACGAAAGGGAGGTGAGCTGTGACATGCAGAATGACAGAAGTGGTGGTTTTCCCCATTAATCTCTAGGGCAGTCAGCAGTGCTTGCCCATCTAATAGAAGGTATCACCCTCGTAACATCTTCATATGACAGGTCCCTCTTTGTTCAGAGGACCTTAAGTATGTTAGGAAAACCAGTACCTTAGATTTATATGGGGGAGGTGTTTCAAAAGCACTGGACTTAGGTCCAGTAGATCACTCTGAATGCAGTTAGGGTTTTGCTGCTGGTGGCATTCAGTGGCAGTGCACTTTAAGTGGAAGCAAAGTGTCTTTGAGACACACCCTTGGATTACCAAGCTCTAACGAACTGGCATAGGACCAGATTTTAATTTTATGGATGTAATTTTTCTTATCTCTTGTGACATACACAAGGGAAGATACCAAGTCCTAATATCAAGAACTGGAGGTTTCCTCCAACTTTGTAGTGTATTCCGTGACACTGTCAGATTGAATAACAATTAATAATAATATTAAATAATCTGCAGTTTCCTGTGATTTAACAGTTGTAAATCAGATATGCTGGAAAGGTGTCTTGACCAAACTCCTAGTAGCTACTGTGAGGTAGAAATCAAGAACAGAGATATTTATTCCTTTCCTCCTTCTAATTAAGAACTAAAACTATGGCTGACCATTCCTAGTGATCCAAAGTCATGTTAGCTGGGGAGGTAAAGCTCCCCAGTTAATTTGGAAGTTGTGAGATGCTAGAGTACTTAAGAAATAAAGTAATTAAGTAATAAATAACTCCCTAGAAGGAATAAGATGGCCAGAAAGAGAAAGCCCAAATCTAGAAGAATTGAATTAAGATTTGGAAAAAAACATATTATTTTTGAGATTTTTTTTTGTAGCTATCAGGCTTTAAGGCTTGACATACTTGGAGTGGACAAATTCTTATTATTATCTAACTTTACTATTACAATTCTAAGTTTCAAATCTAAATGAGCCCGTAAGTGTAAAAGTCCATAAACTGAGCATCTTTATATGTGAACTCCTTGTCCATATCCTCACAGCTGGCAGCTAAATTCTGCTTATTCCAGCCCTTAGGAGGTGGGAAAGTTTAATGCTCAGTCATCTAGAATAGAACATATAGATGCTGTGATAAGGAAGAGTGGTTTGGGTTTTTTGGTTGGATTTTTTTTTTTTTTTGTTAATTTGGTTGGAAATAGCCAAAGAAAAATAGTTGAGCAGACCAGTCGGTGGGTGCCCTTTTAATGTTGAAAGAAATGCATTGTCCCACTCTTTCTGTACCCCTACAATATGGCAAGACCACATATCTGGGAGCCAAAGCCTGTGGGGAGTGAAGGTGATAAGATTTGCATGAAAAAGAGTTTGGGAATGAGCTCTGAGGCCTTGGCGCTTGACAAGCCCTGGGGCGATGAGTTGAAACATTGAAGGGCAGGGAAGGTAAACAAGCAAGCCTCGGGAGGATGGGTCAGGATGTAGCTGTGGCGGGAATCTCAGCTGTAGGCCAGAGGATGTGGGGGTTGTGAGAGGGCCTGCAACACTGTGATTGGACTATTTACCTGGAGAGTTTTACAGGGACCAATGAGATTGAATGTCTCATGTATGTGCAGGTTGGGAAAGTACCTAACAAGGGGATAAAAAGGGCTTGGTGGTAATAAACGAGGGTTTGAGTCTCCGCATCAACTTCAGTCTGTGTCATGAAATGCCGCAAACACCCTGTATTCTCATCCCAATTCTGTCACTATTTGTGTGTTTCCAGACACCTTCTTTTTCCTGTGACTTCGATTTTCCACATTAAATTAGTAGAGAACATCAGTGCCATGAAATATATGGGGTTCAAACTTAAATAGGGGAAGTTTAGATTGGATATAAGGAGGAAGTTCTTTCCTGTTAGGGTGGTGAGGCACTGGAATGGGTTGCCCAGGGAGGTTGTGAATGCTCCATCCCTGGCAGTGTTCAAGGCCAGGTTGGCCAGAGCCTTGGGTGATATGGTTTAGTCTGAGGTGTCCCTGCCCACGGCAGGGGGGTTAGAACTAGATGATCTTAAGGTCCTTTCCAGCCCTAACGATTCTATGATTCTATATATGCAATAAATGTGACAGAGACTGTAACTGTCAATGTGTGCAGGTAGGTTCCTCAGATGCCTCATCACTGAGCAGATTCATGTGGTCCTCCATCAATCCTGTAGGATGCTCAGGTGGAGACAATGAAGGAGATTGCTGATCTCAGTTAGGTGGCTACTGTCTTACAGGTCTTTGGGTACTGTGTCGCTTTAAAGGCTGAGCTGCTTTGGAGCAATCAAAATGGCTCTTCTCTGCAAAGCAAGGTGCAAATACCTGGCTGTCCATAGTAGACTGTCACAGGGAGGACTGTGGATGTTATGAAAGTATTCTGTGTGCAGACATGGGCTTCCTGTGCTCATGAGGTTGTTCTTGGAAGTCCCTGGGGAAGCCATTGACTGTGTCTAAAAGGTGAGGAGCTCCCGAGTCCCAGCCCTGAGGAGGAGGCGGGTGCCCTTGTGTTACAGCATGCTGGTTTTCCTGGAGACCTTGTAACGCTTTTTGAATTATTGGTACCACTCAAAAGGGAAGACATAGGCAAGCAGTCACTTATTCTCACAGCTGAGAGAAGAAAGGGAGTGTGTAGTTGCCATGCTGGGCTGTAAATTTTGCCCTTTGCATGTTAGGGAATTTGATTTCCCCATGGGCATGACTGAAGGGTAGTTACTGCAATCTTTTAGTTGCACAGGGAAAAGCAAGGTATGTAACTTTACTACCCAGAAGAAGTAGTGGCTGATACTCCCCATGTCTTCCTCCATCTCATGCATTGGGAAGGGCTTTATGCCTGACTGTCATTGCTGGGGGCAGAGACGGGGCGAGGCTGGATTTGCACTCTGGTCTGCAGAGCATGGGGCAGTGTGTGGCACTGGTGTGACCTCAGCAATCCTGAGCCATCGGAGAGTCCCTGGCAGGTCAGCAAGCAGGACAGTGTCCCTGCCTCCAAGTGGCAGCCTTGGGCAATCCTGGAGCAGGGGAATTGCCTGGGAGTTGGAGACCCACCTGGAGAGCTATTGCACCTTCTTGCTTTCAACTGCAGGTGTCTCCTGCCCAAGGACTTGTCCTGCAAAAAGGATGGCAGGACCCAAACCTGCTCTACTGGACCTTCTGAGGTTGCAGCTTCATTTAGCAAAAGGACTGGGTTCTTCCAATGTTGAGATTGCACAGAAAAATCAGAATCTCTGCCTCAAATTACTTGGATCTGCTTGTATTGCTTTACTGTCTGGGATGAATCTGTTTCATGGATCCTGATTTTAAATTAGGGCTTGAGATGGAATTCCTACTTCAGGACTGGGATCCAGGACAAAGCAGAGAAGAAACATTTACACTAGGAGAATGGGAAGTGATTTTAATCTGGATACAACTTGCACACAGGCAGCCAGTTACCTGGAAGATACAAAGGAAAATGGCACTGTTAGCTTTAAATAATGTACATTTCCAAGATGTTGCCCAGCTGTTAATCATTAACCCCGTAGCAGGTTGAAGTGTAGGGACAGATGTTCCAAAAATGGTTTTATTTTCTGAAATAAAGAGAATGAAGCTATGAATTAGACAAATTAAGAATAAATTCAAATATTTACACCCAGTTGAAACAAGATGCTGGAAAAACAGGCATGGTAAAATTGCTGCAATTAAATGTAATTTAATTTATAAATCTGAAAGCATGCTTCCTCCAGCGGCAGCCTTGGAGATTTCCTTATGGAGTGCATTGTTGTGATGTATGGATTTTCCTGACTTATTATGGCATTTTAATCAACAGTTCAATGATGTGATAATATTCCTAAAGCAGAAAAATAAGTGACATTTGTTTAGACATAATTAATGAAATATTTATGTTGCATGCGGCTGTGTGATAAAGCCTTGTTCTCTTAGTCCATTTGCTTCTGATTACATTTGTGATTTTTTTATATGACCAGACATTCTGACGCCAACTATTTTACACTGAGCAGATGTCATGTAGTAAAAATGGGTGCCAGATGCTACAAGCCACATAAGGGTAATTTGTTTAAGAGCTGGTTCAGACTTTTTGCATTCAATTACACTGTATAGTGAGCCTTATACAATCATTTGGGTAATATGGCTAACTTCAGATATACATTTTAATGAATGCTGAGTGCATTCAGAGCAGCGTGCTGCACGCAGGGTGCTCAAGGAATTAATTTATTTGCACGTAATACCTGAAAAAATCAAATATATCCAGATAGAGTTTTTGAAAGGCATCAAGAATCTAATTAATGCCATCAGCCAAATTTCCACATTGCTCTAGGTGCTGCTGATTAGAACTCGGGGCAGGTGCAAAGTGTCTATATAAGTTAGAGAACAGTATTTTTTTGCTTCACTAACTATTTTGTTCCTGCATTTTAGGATGTGAACACCTAACTGTTAGAAAACAAGCTACTGAGTATTCCACTTCTTCCTCTGATGATGAATTTGAATGCAAGCCTTCATTAACACACAAGGTAATCTTGACTTGGAAACAGAAAGATATTTCCTCAGTTGGACTGTAGCTAAGATTCGTCATATGATTTTGATCTAAAACACACAGCAATTTCTCAAAGTGGGGTTTGGAATATTTTATCAGTGGAGGTTATGTGCAATGGAGAAAAAACACATTAAAACTCTTTAAGGAACATGAACATTAAAATTCCTTTTTCCTCTTTGAATCTTTAATTCCCCCAGGTTGCACCAGTGTTGACAGAGGAGGTCTTAATTTGACAGACAGAGATGTTTCACTGAATCCACTTTGAGGCTGCACTCTTAAATGGCCTTAATGCATAGCCCAACAACCAAACTATTGAAAAAAATAAAGCAAACAGATGCAGATTTCCTATGGGAAAATACAACTTCATTTGAGAAGCGCTGCAGGCAGGTTGTTTGGAAACCTCTGTTTATCCTAATCAGTGGCACTGCATGAGCCACCAAGTTGCACCCAGAGCCTACACGCTGAAAGGGCTGGCTGCACAGCGGGGTCTCTGAGCCCTAATCTGTTTCCTGTGGCTAGGATGAGGTTAAAGCACCAATGAACTCTTGATGCCTAGCTCTGATGTGAAGAAACAGAGCTTTTATTGCCTGAATAGCTCATCAGAAATGTGTTTACCTCTTTCCTGTGGAGAATATCAGTAAGTGGAGTTAATAGTACAAAGTGGCCTTTTGATTTGTTGCCTTTGAGGTAGGATGGAAACAGGGAAAGCAAAGCAAGAGGCTGCCCACTACGCTGGAAAAACAGCCAAGCTGAAACTTAAGTGGGGCTATAAATGGAAACCCAGTTGCACAGCTCCAGAAGAACAGAAGTGCCCGGAGGCAGAAGTGCAGCAGTGTGTGGTGGCACATCCCGCCAGTGGCTCTATTTCAGGGTGTGCCGAGATGTCAGAATCCATCATTCATCTTTCCCGTTACAGGAAAGGCAGTCTATAGTAAGATGATACAACGGTGAATTAAATAAAATAGAGAAAAGAAGGGAGGTATAGGAGAAAACTGGATAGGAGCAACACCAAATAGTTAAGGCAGGCACAGGAACAGGCAGGGTCAGGCAGCGGGGAAGGCAGCACTGCCAGGCAGTGCCAGAACCAGTGTGAATGAGCAGCTGTCACACATGGGCATTAGTAGTGATTCAGTTTTGATGCACGTTCTCCACTCAGCTTGTTTCTCTCAGCTACCACCTAGCACTTCTTTGCATGCCAGTTCTGCCTGCTATTTTGCCACTCTCTGTGTCTCTGGAAAAACTCAGTGGGAAAATTTTAGCAAGCAGCGTCATCACTTGATAGTTTTTTTGTCTTATCTATGGTGCTCATATATTCTGTCTCCTCCAAAATGGGAAACCCACAGCTTTAAAGCACTTCCAGATCACTTGGGTCAAGGGCAGTATGGAGCAAGCACAGGTGATTCCCTCAGGCAGCCCTGTAGCTGCCCTGCTTTCCCAGCAGCAGTGACAGGTATGCCAGGAAAAGGGAAAAAAAAACCTCTAATGCTGTAGAGAACTGGCACTGGGGAATATTTCATAGGGCTGCAGATAGTGTCCTATGATGGCTGTTTCTAATAAAGGGATGTATCCTTTTTACTGTGTTATAAGCGATCCAAAGTGAATTTTACTACTTATCAGCTACAGCAGTAGAAACAGGTTGAGTTTCCTTAAACCAGCGCTTCCTCCTCCCTGTGCCTGGCTTTTTCTCTGGTCATGGTGATGTCTGCAGAAGCAACTTTGCCATTCAGACTTTTCTTTTATTGATAGACACAGTTCACACTCACTGAGGGTTGCAATAAGAGCTTGTAATGATTTAAAGTCATGTAGGCAAATGCATGAAAATATTCCTACATGCATATTTTCATTTCAGTTAGGTTGCCCCAAGCACCCTGCAGCAGTGCACCTTATTTTGAGCAGGGGATTCAAGTTAGATGAGATCCAGAGGTCTCTCCCATGCCCTTAATGTTCTGCGATTCTGGGAGGTTTGAGGAAACCTGTAATAGCATGCTTATGCTCTGATTGCCTTTCTTTATTCCTCTCTCTCTTTTGTAGGCAAAATGGTCTATCAGAAGGAGAAGGAAGCTGGAGAGGGAGACAAAGCAATTGATTAAACAAGAGGAACTGAAGAGGCTTCACAAAGCACAGGTGAAAATGTAACTCACAGGTGTCACTATAGGAAGACAAATGGGACTAGTGAGTATGAGGGTACCCAGTATGGGGTTTGCGCTTCCTCTCACTTCTCATTATGGCCTTCTGTGTTGAAGCCCTGTCAAACTATCAGTCAGGAGCAAGAAGGTGTATGTGGCAGGGCCTTGCAGCTCTGTTTGTGACAAATCCACATGTGCCCCAGGAGACCTTCATAATTTTGTAACTGTATGAAGAACAAGAGGGAATAGTGACTGGCAATAAGAGAAGAATACACTGAAGAGGGAAGGAGATAGAAAGGGGAAGTAATATCAGTCCCTGAGAATGTAAGAAACTCCACTATTAGCCCTATGTATTACAGGAGGGTATGAAAATACAGTGATGGGTTTTGTTCTCTCTCTGCCGTAACAATGAAAGTGAATCATTTTCTCTCTTAATGATGCAAGGTCAATTTGCTATATGCAGGCCCTGCATTTTGGAAGATGCTGGATAAGCTTTGGACTCTGCTAATGTTTATTATTTTCAATTACAGTTCAAAGATTTTGCGATGCACTTGTGCACAACTTGATCTCAGACTATGTTCTCTCAGGTGTCAAAATTTTTGGGTTTATCTATTTCACTTACCATACATACATATTCATATGCATATGTGTATGTGTATATACATATATATATATACATATACACACAAAAAAAAAACCCAACCCTTAATGGCTTATGTGGCCATTAGCAATTTTTGTGTGTGTACGTACAGTAGCACAGGGCAGAGAAACCTGAACTAGATTTAATCTCATTAATTCAGGCTGTAATGGTAATCAAGATATGGTAGTGAAAAGAGCAGAAGTTGTCATTATCTTGTGTTGTATTCAGCAGGTGGGGAGTTTTGAGTGGAGCTTCCACTGGCTACTTCTTTACCAATATTAAATTAAAAAAGGGAACTACTAAATTGTTTTTCAGATATGAATCTGAAATCTCTGGTTTTGCAGACATCACTGCCTTTGTAAAATGCATTGCTGAAAAGGAGAGAATTTTTGTGTTTGAACCAGTGGATTTTAGAAAATGCTTATATCTAGCTGTTGCTATAAAATCTGTGACAGAATAAAACCCATGGGGAAGAAAACCCAGCATCTTATTTAATCTAAAGTAAGAGCAACTGTATTATTTTTCAGCTAAGAATTGTAAATTATCTCAAGCTAAAAAATAGGTACATAAACACCTTGTCTTATTTTACCCCTTTCTGGAAATAATGAAGTCCAAACTTGTTGAATTATCTTTCATATTCATCAGGCTGTTGCTGAGGGCTTGGCTTAGTATGCCGTAACACATCCTGAAATGAGAACTGCTGAGCATCTACCTTTGACGTGTTTCATGCCTATAATCCACATGGCACCTCTGAAAATCTTGTTTAAAAGGGGATGGACCAGTGAACGTAGAAGTCCTTCCTAAAGTGCCACTTCTTAGGTATTAGACTCTTTCCTTCATGTGTCAAAAGCCTGGCAATATGAAAGCAAAAGAAAGAAACAACAAAATCCCATAGACAACAAAATAGTTAGCAAAGCTTTCTAGCTGTAAACCTTCAATACTATATGACCTTTATTCAGGTAGCATCTCAGAATATATGCCTCTGAATGTGTAAGTTGTTGACTTTGACACCTCGAAAGACAGAAATGTTATGATCTCTGTTTTACAACAGGAGAGCTGGAGTTCAGAAAAAAACCTAGGTTTTTCTATTGACTACAATACCTACCCACACAAACCATAGCCATACCTGCTGGATTTCAGTACCTAGTGGGATTATTAAATTGCTTAGGCACCTAATGTACTCAATGAGTTTGCAAATCCCATGACTCCTCTGAGACCCTTTCAAGCTGTTTCTCTAACCACTGAGACTATCTTTTTGTCTCTGAATTTTTAAGCTATGCCTGTAGCTTTTATATCATTACAATTTTGCAGGCAGTCCAGCGACAGCTAGAAGAGTTGGAGGAAAGACAAAGAGCTCTGGAGATTTTTGGTGTCAAACTGGAGAGAGAACTAAGAGGAGAATCAGGTAAATGAAGCAGTGTGTGTTTGGTGGTGGGTTTTGTTTGGTCAGGGTTTTTTTTCTTTAAAATCACATTTTTCAAAGTAGAGAGGTTTTGGTGACTGTCATAGAAATACAGTTTAGTGCAAAATCTCAAATGGAGCAGTAACTAGAAGGACAAAACACTGTTTGCCTTTTTTCCAAACTCTCTTAGCTCAAGCACCTTTACGCTGAATGCTAGAAATCTACTGTTGGTTGTCACAGATTTGGAATTATTTGCCTGTTGAACCTGAATCTACATCCTCCCCAACCCCTTCTCCCCTTCCCCTTTTTTCAAAAACCTATCCTGAGCTGAATTTCATCCTCTGGAGGGAACCCATGAGGTTTCCAGGAGCTGTATCTGTTATCTCAGTTACCAAGCCAGCAGCAGCCTGTGCCTAGTAACAGTCCTTAATGACTCCTCTGGAGTGTGAGATGCCATTAATACAATTAGAGTCAGTGGCCATGCTATAGCAACGGCAGTATCGGGCACACAGACCCAAACCACACAGCTTTTCCCCCAATGCGTAGAAGATAGCGGGGACATTGTCCTGGCCCCTCCAGGTTGGAGGCAAGGTTTTGCCTCACCTGAACTGACAGTCCCAAACACCCAGGACCGTGTCATCCTCCCACCAAGCCAGCCTTGCCAGTGCTCCCCAACACACATGGAGTGAAGCTGTGGAGACCTCCCACAGAGGGACGGGACATCTGGGAGCTCCTGCCAGGCTCAAAATGGGGATGGGACTGTGAACCATGTGTGTAAAAGACTTCAGAGGGGGCTGTAGTTCTGTGCTGAAAGGACTCTGTGGAGCCTGATTGCAAATGTGTGTTTATTTACCTCTGTTTTAGAAAGCTGAATATGGTGCTTTCATGACAAGCAGTTGCACAACGCTGAAAACCTAGATATGTTTTGGCACCTGATCTTTTTGTTGTCTTAGGTGGGCAACCTAGCACAATATCTACATGCTGGCTTTTTTAAATGCCATGTTTCTTAGCAGTTGTTGCCCCTATTCTAACACTGAAGTAATCAATTCAGCAAGACAGCATTTGCCCAGCCTTTTATATTTATTAACTGATTTTCTATATTTGATAGTGCCAACCTATTTCAACTGTTATTTAAAGGCTAGCATCTTTTTCCTTAAATGAAAGAATAGCCTTTTATGAAATGGTACCCACTTTACCACCTGTGAGAAAGTCTTCAAAAAAGACTTTGAGGATTTGTTTGGATTAGCTTTTTTTTTTACTGCTGAGCTGTGTAGGGGTGGTTGGCTTTTTGGAAACCTCAAAAACCAGAGAGGGACAAGAGGCTTCTATCTCTTGGGATAGACGCCAAATACCAAGATAAATGGCCTACAGCCACCTCTTGTTTTTGGTGTTTTGACAATCGCATTTCCTAAAGAAGGCTGTCTGCCAAGAGATTGATGCTTCTCATTCTCTTCCCATCTTTAGTAATTGGATTGCCCTCATTAAGGTGAAAGTACTATTTTTTTCTCCCTGTTGATTGTGTGTAGGTGGCCAGTTACAAATAGGGCAGATACTGAAGAGTAGGATGTTACTGTGTCTCAATAACTCTTCTGGTGTGAAAGCATGAAGCTGCAAGTTTCCCAAACAAAATGTAAATGCTTTGTTGCTTGTAATAACACGCTTGTAATGATGCAGGAATTGGTGAGTTTAATATTCTCTTCAACTTTCCTAAAAATAATGTGCATTATTGTTTAATGAATGACCAGTATTTATTAGGTTAAGTTGTATTTAAGCAGGTCTGCGCTTACGCAATTCAAGTGATTTAATAGGTATTATTAAGGTAATTAGAAAACGATCACAGTTCAGCAATAATATTGAGCTGCAAAGGTTGTGAATAACCAAATTTAGAGACAGGCCTGCAAACACTAGTCTTCCGTGACATTTACGCAACTCTCCTCTAATAATTCTGTAAGCCTGGGATGAATGGCCCTTTTGTTAGGAGGAGTTATTCATTAGCTCCTCAACTGAATTAGAAGAGAACATGCGTGGGTGCAAAACAACTGCCATGAAGACTGATGAGCAAAATGAGGCTTTGATGATCTTCTAATTGTAGTGACAACAATTCATGCATTTAAAAAAAAAAACCAAAAGGAATCGTATCAGTCCTATGAATAATTTTTGAAGCCCGTTATTTGCTTTATTCTGGTTCAAAATACCAAATAATAAATCATTGATGTACTGTCGCTTTGTTTTCCACTGACATTTGTGGAGGCTTATGGAGATCTTCTGCCTACCAGAAAATACAGAAATAAAAATCTCAAAACACATTTTCCACTGAAATTAGCATAACTGATCAGTGACTAAACAAATCATGAAAAAAGAAAATCTGTGTTGAGAGAACTTCAAGAAACCTCTCCATTTTTTGGAAGGGGAACAAATATCTGCACACATTGCCGTTCGTTTTTATTTCATAAGGAGCATATTCAACGTTTCTCAGAACTTTCAAGAGAGTCAAAAGAAATCAGTTTAAACCTGTAAGAATGAAGAATATGAAGTTTAGCTGTTTCTAAAAGCGTGCAAACTGGCCAAGGCCCCTTTACTGTGTGACTGCTCTATGGAGGGACAGTGTAGCATCACTCTGAAGAACAGAAGGTTGATGTTTTGAGAACTGTGTTCAGTAAATACTCCTATGCAGCCTGTCATTCCCTAGAAGTATTGAAAACAGAAATAGCTACGATGTGATTAGAAGAGTATCTGACTTTCAAACAGTATCAAAGTTAAAGGAGACTTGGGTAAACCAGGAGGCAAGTTTTGCTTTAGCAGTGCTGTAAGAGAAAGCCAATATGGCTCACAAAACAAACTCACAAATTGTTTTCCTCTAACCTTTAAAAAGATCTGTCATACTGCATAATGCAAAATACTTCATTGGTTTGTTCCGCCCTCGGAAGGCATAAAATGCTCTATCAGACTTAAATAACTATTACCATTATAAGTAAAAACATTTGAAAAGCTCAGGAAAAAAATGTCCCTGGGGACACCTGGGGGGCATTCTATGGGATGGAGAATGAGGTAAAACAAGGGCTACTTTTACTCTGGCTTGCACTGAGGATTTTACTAAAATGAGTGGCATTTTTACAAAGTGCATTACTCTTTGCTTACCTCAGTCAACCTACATATGCAGTCTTTTATTAGAGGTACGCAGATTTTGAAGTGTAAAGAGGAAACATAAAGAAAAAAAAATTAAAAAATGCCTTATCAAGAAAACAGGAAAAAGGGAGCAGTAATTCTCTGTGTGTGTATGGGACATACACATACCTACAATTGTGATGTTTTTACTGTCGGTAAATTAGATCAAATTTTGATGATAACTTCTGATGGTGGCATATGAAGACCCCAGGTACTAATGCTGCATCCCTGCACTGGGTGTGGGAGAAGCCACAGCTGGCATGTCACAGTTAGAACTGCTCCAGCAGTCACTTTGCGATCAGATTTTTTTTATCACCGCTCACTGACCTGGAAGATCCCATGGGAGCACATCAATTATTGACAAGTTTTAATGGAATCAGGCAGAAATCAGACCAAGATTGCTCTGCCCTCTCCTGCTGTTTAGCTTCCCATTTCACGGTAAATTCAGATTGAGGTCAAATCCTAGTAAGAAATTGCAGAACTGCACCAAAACGAGCACGACTCTTGCCCTCAGTATGAGGGCCCATGCAATTCCTCCAACACTGGCAGGAGGATGACTGTGCCTGGTAAAGGCACAGAAATGGGCTGGTGAACATCTAACATTTCCCTTCTGCTCAGGAGGATTGCTAAAGGGCTGCATTGAGCAAAGTCATTGATCGCCTAAAGGACATGGGCTTTAAACTGCTGTTCTTGAGTGGAGTCAGCTCCTGGCTTTCGTGTTAAAGTGATGGACAGCTGAAGCAGTAGAGGCAAGAGGGTAATTTCTGGGGCTGACAAAAAAAAAGAGCATTTCAAAATGACAACAGAAAGGCATCCGAAACACTGCTGAGCTGTCCAAGGCTCTGCCTCTTTTACCACTTGCTGACCTACTTTTGTAGCTGTCATCACTGGAGCTTGAACCTGAGACCTTTGGGCTTATATCTCAGCACCCTCAGTGCAGTCCATCCACAGAAGGTGCAGTCCATTCACAGAAGTCTCCATCCACAGAAAACAGCCAAGCTTATTTATGGGTGGGTTATGCTTGGTTATCTAGCAGTGTGATATAAGGCTGGAGGAGCAGAGAGCTGTGTTCTCCTGCCTGCTGGCAGTGCCTTGTTTTGCTTTGTCCCAGGTCCAGCTGGCCCTGCCTCCAACACACAGTGGTGGAGTGTGCAACTACCATGTCCTGAGGCAGAAGCACAGGCTGGCTGTTGATTTTATGCTTCTGAAGGGGCCAGCGTGTCACTTGAATTGTTGCCTCAACCTGGAGCAGTGTAAGATATTTGCTTCCTACAAGTGATCACTATTTTGTGGCAACAGATGGCAGAGGGGCAGAGCAGACATTGTGGGAGGTGTGTTTGCAGTGCTATCACTGCTGTAATTCTGCATCAAGGGGTGCTGGGGTGGGTTTGTTTTGTGAAGAAAATTAATGGAAAATGTGAAGTGATGAGCATATTAAAAAGGGCAGCAAGGAAAATAAACACATATGTACTCTGATTTGCGACTTGAAAACACATAGGGTTTCTTCATTGCCAAAGATTTTTGTACAGACAGCATTTTAGGAGCTTTAAAGGCCCTCACCTGGTGAAAGAAATCCCTCCTTCTCTTCAGCAAGGCAGAGTTAAGCTGTGAGATCTTTGGGAAACAGACCATCTGTCCTGGGTTCAGCAGTAGCAGTCATTTTTCTCCTTCTTAGTAGCTGGTGCAGTGCTGTGTTTCTGACTTTCAGCCTGGGAACAGCACTGATAACACCGATGTTTTTAGTTGGTGCTCAGTAATGTTTACTCTGACCAAGGAGTCTCATGTTCTGCCAGGGAGGAGGGGAAGCTGGGAGTAAGCAGAGGCAGGACGCCTGACCCAAACTAACCAAAGAGGTATTCCATACCACAGCACATCATGACCAGTATATAAACTGTGGGGAGTTACCCGGAAGCCCCAGATCACTGTTTGGGTCGGGTTGGGTATCGGTCAGCGGGTGGTGAGTGGTTGTATTCTCTTCCTTTGTTATTTCCCTTATCATTATCATTATTGGTGGCAGCAGTAGTGGTTTGTGTTATACCTTAGTTACTGGACTGTTCTTATCTCAACCCACGGGAGTTACATTCTTTCGATTCTCCTCCCCATCCCTCTGGGAACAGGGGGAAGAAGAAGGTGGGGAGTGAGCAAGCGGCTGCATGGTTCTGAGTTACCGGCTGGACTTGAACCATGACAGTTCTTTGTGGCACCCAGTGTGGGGCACTAAGGGTTGAGTTAATGACAGATCTGACCAGAGTGTGTATGATCATATTTGTGATAAGCATTCATTGTTTTGGATTAATAGTCACACATCACGATGCTGATTTATTGGCTCTCGGAGTTGTTGCTCTTGATCTCACAGTTTCAGCATGTTGTACCTTATTTACAGCCGGTATTTGCTGTGTTAGTGTTTATTGGCTGGGGAGCCTGGGTTAAGGCTCTTGTTTCACTGTACTTTATGGTAATGATTTGTAATACAATAGAATCATTGATCATAAAACTGGTCTGGCTTGCGTTCCCAGTGTGGTTACCACCTCTATACTTCGGGAGGTATATAATGGAAGTGTTTAGCAATTACACATCTTTTTTTCCCTCCTTGGGTGGTCAACCTATGAAGGAGACATTTCTTTACATCCCAGCTCCCCCACCGGACTATTTAGAGCATCATTTGAGAGTTCTGATAGTTTTGAATGGCCTTAGAGTACCCTTGAGACCTGCCTGCTGATTGTGATGGGGATCACCATGTTGGCACTCGCACAGAGTGTGTTTTACCCATGGCCATTTCATCTGATCTCAAAAGTTAAGCAGAATCGGGTTTGGGTCTTGTCTAGGGTTAGATGAAGATACAGGAGGACCAAGAGATTTTCCCTGAGGCTGGACAGTCATGAGTGGCAGGGTGTGTGGGATAGTATGGGCAAGTATCTAGGCCAGTAGGCCCCTCCAGTATTTTGGAATTTCACTATCGAACAACTGCAAAGTCCAGAAGAATTAGTAAAACGCTTAAATAAGGTGTGTGGTCATTCTGGATGTACCAGAGAGGGACAAATCATGGCAACATGCTCATGTATGTAGCCTACGCTTACAGAGCCCTGTTCAACACTGTCCAACATCTTCAAAGGGAAAAAGATGTTTCTGTATCCGTTGCAAAGCAACAGACAATGCAGCTACTACAACTCCAAGTACAACAGCTACACCAACCCTACTGACAAGTACAGCAGCTACTCAAACTCTGCCTGCAACAGACAATGCAGCTACTCCAAGTACAGCAACTACACCAACCCCAGCGACAAGTACAGCAGACTCCGACAATGCAGCTGCTGGTGCTACTCAACCCCCAAGCACAGCGGCTGCACCAACCCCAACAACAGACACTGCAGCCACTCCAACCACAGTGATAGTCACTGCAGCTAAACCAAAGGACCAATTCATGCCAATATCAGTTGCCCCTGTACACAAGGGGAAAAGCAAACAAGAGGCACAAAGAGCAACCCATACAGTGAAGATAAAGAACCAGTGCACTTATTTCATGGGACAGCATCTGAACAAAAGTAATTATGTGAATCAGAGGAAGAGGAAGAAGTGACTTCTCGACCCCAGATCTCACCTGAGATACGGAATATGCAAAAAGATTTCACCCATCATCCAGGGGAGCACATCATCACCTGGTTGCTCTGATGCTGGGACAACAGGGCCGATGGTCATGAACTAGAAGGTGGGGAAGCCAAGCGGCTGGGATCACTTGCTAGGGAAGGGGGAATTAACAAAGCAATTGCAAGAGAGAAACAGTCCCTCAGCCTCTGGAGGCGGCTCTTGGCAGGTGTGAGGGAAAGGTTTCCCTACAAGAATGATGTTATGAGTCGTTCGGCCAACTGGATCATGATAGAGAAAGGCATCCAATCTCTGAGGAAATCGGCCATTCTAGAGATGATCTATTGTAGGCTGGATGCTGGGAATACATCCATAGATCCAAATGAAGTTGAATGTACATGACCCATGTGGCAGAAATTTACATGGAGTGCACCACCATTATATGCACATTCATTGGCATCAATAACCTGGTATGACGTAGCACCACCAACAGTGGATGAACTGATTCATCAACTCCAAGAGTTCGAAGACAATCTCACCCCTTCCATCATTTCAGCTGTGGAAAAACTGTCCCAGGAGTTAAAACAATTGAGAGGTGATCTATTTGATCTGTCCAGTTCCTTATGTGTACCAGCCCCTGTCTCAGCTATAAACTAAAGGCACCCTACTGCTCAAGAGAGAAGATATAGGAGGTACAGGCCACAGGCCACCCTATGGTTTTACCTGCTGGATCAGGGAGAAGACATGAGAAAGCGGGCTGGAAAACCTACCTCAGCTGCGGAGGTATGCATGCGTGAATTGAAGAGGAGAGCAAAGGTCAAGGATGATCATCCCATGAAAGCTGCAGCTTCAGTCTCTGGTGAGCAGGTTCCCAGATGGAGTGGAAGAGTTGATTTTACTCCAGATCCTGTGACAAAGAATCCTAATCCCTGTCTACAAGATGTAAGTGACCAATATTGTGATTGCTATTCGAGGGGCCCTGCCTCCAGCCCGGTGGAGGTAGGGAACAATTGGATTTACTGGACTGTGTGGATCAGATGGCCTGGCACATCAGTCCCACAGGAGTGTAAGGCTCTAGTAGATACTGGTGCACAGTGTACCCTGATGCCATTAAGCTATCAAGGGGTGGAACCCATTTATATTTCTGGAGTGACAGGAGGACCCCAAGAGTTGACTGTACTGAAGGCTGAAATCAGCCTGACTGGGAAGGAGTGGCAAAAGCACCCTAATGTAACTGGTCCAGAGGATCCATGCATCCTTGGCATAGACTACCTCAGGAGCAGGAGAGGGTACTTCAAAGACCCAAAAGGGTACTGATAGGCTTTTGGTGTTGCTGCTTTGAAGACAGAGGAAATTAAGAAGCTGTCCACCTTGCCTGGTCTCTCAGAGGATCCTTCTGTTGTGGGGTTGCCAAAGGTCAAAGAACAACAAGTGCCAATCGTGAACACAACAGTGCATGGGTGGCAATATCGCACCAACCGAGACTCCCTGATTCCCATCCATAAGGTGATCAGCAAGGAGTGATCAGCAGGACCTGCTCACCCTTCAGTAGCCCCATATGGCCAGTGCAAAAGTCTGACAGAGAGTGGAGACTAATAGTATCGTGGCCTGAATGAAGTCACACCACCATTGAGTGCTGCCGTACCGGACATGCTAGAACTTCAGTATGAACTAGAGTCAAAGGCAGCCAAGTGGTATGCCACGACTGATATTGCCAATGCATTTTTCTCAATTCCTTTGGCCAGAGGGCAAAGATTTCGGAATGTCACCAAAGGAGGAGGTGGTGCGTGCTGAAGAGGCCCCACCATATAATAAACTGTCAGAAAGTGAAAAGCAGTATGCCTTGTTTACTGATGGGTCTTGCCGTATTGTGGGAAAGCATCGGACATGGAAGGCAGCTGTATGGAGTCCTGGACGACAAGTTGCAGAAACTGCTGAAGGAGAGGGTGAATCTCTGATCCAAACTAGCCAAAGAGATATTCCATACCACAGCACGTCATACCCAGTAAATAAATGGGGCAGTTACCCGGAAGCCCCAGATCATTGTTCGGGTTGGGCTGGGTATTGATCAGAAGGTGGTGAGCGGTTGTATTCTCTTCCCTTGTTATTTTCTTTATCATTATTATTATTGGTGGCAGCAGTAGTGGTTTGTGTTATACCTTAGTTACTGGACTGTTCTTATCTCAACCCACGGGAGTTATATTCTTTCAGTTCTCCTCCCCATCCCTCTGGGAGCAGGGGAAGGTAGAAGGAGGGCAATGAGTGAGCAGCTGCATGGTTCTGAGTTACCAGCTGGGCTTCAACCACGATACCATCTCATGTTTCACGTCTGTATAGTGCCTAACAGTGATGCACTGGCCCAAAGTGTTACAAAACCATGAAGTAATAGAAGAGTTACCCTGTCCCACAGCCTTTCCTGTCATTCAAAGCAGATGCAGATTTAGAGGCCAGTTGGAAAATGATCAGAAACTTGTGGATTTGATTGTGTGTCTGATGCCCACTCACTGGAAACAGGGACTAAGTTGATACTTGCCAGGATGTACATCCTGAAGTCCGGTTGCATTAATGGGATTACCTATTTATACATATAGTTCAGCTGCTGGAGTCCAGTATCAGCAGAGGAACTATGTTGTCAAAGGCAGAAGTAAGAAAAAGAAAAAGTGCCCATTAAGAAAAGAAAGTCTTGAAAGGAAAATCTTAACTGCCTGAACAGAAGTGGTTTTAAGTCTAATGCATCTTTAACTACAACATATGCAATAAACTACATCATTCAAGCAAAGGTAGACAAGAATGTTATACCTGTTATACCCAGACTTTACTGATGTAAGTTACACACAGCAAAAAAAATCTACATTTGAACTCACGTAGGCTTACCAATGGGGACTATTTAACATGAACTTAAGTGGTGAGTGCGTTGGAAAGAAAGCTGGTAATGCACACTTAAGCCTTTTATTTTAAACAGATTCAGGCACAAAGGATGAAACTCAGATGCTGCATGAATGGTTTGAGCTGGTCCTGGAGAAGAATAAATTAATGCGTTATGAGTCTGAGCTCCTGATTATGTAAGTGAGGACAAGCATTAGTACTAAAGATGGGGAGGGGAGAGAGGAAGAGTGTACTGAAAATACACCTGAACACCCTGTTGTGTGCTGCAGTTTGAGACTGTTGTGGAATAAATGTACCCAGAGTAGCTACAATCTGTTTTGAACACAGATTTTTAGTTGAGCCTTCCTTGTCCTTCACTCTCACAGGGGTTCGTTTATTTCAATCTTATAACATGCTTTGAAACAATATAGCATGTAGACGCTCTGTATTTACATAATGTGCGTCTAATGAACTTTCTTCTGTGAAAGAAAAGCAGTCTGACAAATTTATCTCAGGTTTCATTGGACATAGGGGAAAAGATCTAGGAATTCACTACAGCAATGAAGCAAGCAGATGCCCCAAGCAAATAAAAACTGCCTCAGATGCTCACTGTAGTTGATGGAAACAATATAGGCTGTAGCTCTGTTGCCTCACCTCACCTCCTTGGAAACGTGCTCAACAGATAAGTGGAGGTGACTCTCAGCTATTTTCTCCAGGATTTCTGGACCATGTGGGAAGGCGATGAGAGTTATTACTCACCCCTGGATTTCACACCAGTGCAGGCTGCTTGTTGCCATTTATCATTTCCATATCACTCAGCACCCAGTGCTGTGGGCAGTAATGCAGACCAACCATTAGTTCCAGCTGCACCCCAATTTCTCCCCAGCTGATGCTGTTGGGGCCAAACCTCCTCTTTCCTGTTCAATTGTCATTGTGTGTTGCAGTAGTAATGCTTCCTGCTCACACCGTCTGGAAAAGCAGTTACAAAAGCAAAAGCAGGCTGCTTTTGTCACTGCAGAACGCAAAATGTTGTCTGGATGCGTTCACATGTGTTAATTCCCTTCCTTCAGGACCCATTCCTGTGCAGAGAGCCTGCCAGGGCCCTTCATGTCGGGGGGATCATTCAGTCCTATCCAGAATTACGTTGTGGGTGCCACCAAAAAGCACAGCTGGCTAAAGCATGAAGTGTTGCAGTGTATGAGAGAGCTTAATCTGATATATAATGCAAAAGGTGGTAGTGGTACATCTGGCATTGCTGTGGCAATGTAGGCATGGGCAAACTTTTTAGCCTTGATTGCCCAAGAGGAGAAAACACTGGAAAACAGAACATGGAATCTCTTGGTTGAAATAATATTAACGTTTATGTCTTTATTGGAAAAAAGCTCTTTTAATGTACTTTTTGTTGTACCTAGAGCCCAAGAGCTAGAATTGGAAGACCACCAAAGCAGGTTGGAACAAAAACTGAGAGAGAAGATGGCCATTGATGGTAAGTCAAAGGGAAGTATATGTTCCAGGCCACAGTGAGAGGCCATGCCCGTACATACCTGTTTGCTTCCAGAGGAACAGAGTTGCTAAGGCTCTTCCTCCACTTCTCTTCTGCAAGGGCAGTTCAGCCAGAAAAATGCAACGTGAGAGGTCTTCTCAACTGACTTCTAGTGAAGACAGCTAAGCTAACCTGCCCAGTTTTACACTGAACTGGATCAGAAGCACTCGCACATGTAATTGCACTAATTGTGTGTGCAGGCAGCAACATCCAGCTAGCATGCAATGATGGGAAGCAGTGGAAAGTAATTGTTTCAACCACTTAAACACGAAAGAGGTTATCTGGTTTTGTGCCAGCTGTAGCATTACTGGTTACCACAGTATTTTGGAATTGCTTTCAGATACTTTGGGTTACAGTTTAGGCTTGCCCTTTCATTTGATATTAGAAAAGAGAACATGGGGAGGAGGAATGGAGGAAGAAGGGGAGTTAAATAGCACTTGAATACCCAAAAATAGCCTGTCATGTTCAAAGCATGCAGTTTATAAGCCATGGCAGTTTTCAATGCATTTTCTGAAAAACACTTTTCATTTTCTTACAGGTACTACATTTCATGGTTGGGCTTTTTATCTTATAAATTAAACTCCAGTTTTTGTAAATAAGTTGTGCTCTTCCTATGCATTCCAGTCAAAGCTTTGCTAAAAGACCTACCCTAGCCTTTAGGAGCCTTAATGGTCAACCTTAAATGTCCCAAATGCTGGAGAAATTTTCCCTGGACTGTAACATAAAAACCATTAACTGCTATTGACTTAATTTCTCATTGACTATAATATTAATTCAAGCTGCACGCCAACAGTTAAAATGTAAAGTGTAACAAGTGTGTTATCTGGATTTTGACCTCTTGTTTTGTGATCTTTCAGACAGCCTTAAAGACGAAATGGATCTGAATGAGGAGGTTGAAATTTTTACTGAGATGATGAAAGTGGTTGAAGAAAGGGATAAACTTGTGTCTACCTTAGAGGAGCAGAGAGTGAAAGAAAAAGCAGAAGACCAGCACTTTGAAAGCGTTATATTATCTAGAGGCTATCAGCAGAGCAGGATTTAGACAGCCACATGCAAATAAACATGATTTCAGCAATATTCATAATCGTGGAGATACAGTATTATGAAAAATGGAGAAATTCAAATTGAAAATCAGTTTATTTGGGAAACATGTTGCTTTCTTATCAAAAGTGCTTAAGCAGTTCTTTTGCATATACCAGAGTGAGTCATTTCACTATCAGCTTAAAGGATCACGGGAATACAGAATAGGACTGAATTTACCTCTCTGATGGGCATCAGAGTCTGTGAAAGGGAAATCAGAGCTCTGTTGTTTTCTTGGAATTTTATTTTAATGCTGAGAATAGAGTTTCTGAGAAGCATGGTGACATAATTTAGTATTTTTGAGACAACGTTACTTTCCATGTGTTTATCTGAATCTGTATGTGGTTTTGTTAATATTTTGGCACAGCCAAGCCATGGTGAACTATTTAAAGGTCAGAAAGCAAGCATCACATAAAAACAAGGTTAGTCTGTATTTCTGGTGGAGGAAGTGTCATTTGATTAATAACTACATATAAGCACTCATTAAAACTACTGTAAATGCAGTATCAGAAATTAATTTTCCAGGTATTTGCAAGTTTTAGTGCACTGTGTATTTTTGAACAAGTTAAAGCAATATTAAATCCCTACATTTTGTACAATGGTAAGGGATTATCAAAGGGGTTACTACCCTTAAAACTGTTAAATGCTCAAAAAAGCTTTTGTATGTCACAGATTAAGGTCTTTAAAATATGCTAAATGATAGTTTAAAACTAATAATCCAAACCCAATTAGTATTTGTAGGGTAGGCTTTACAATGGCTTGATAAAATACATTGCACGTAGTATCATAGGGTGTGATGAGTTAAAAATCTCCCTGAGAATAATTCCTCAAAAGGATTGCAAAAACAAGTGTTGATTTTTTTTTAATGTCAACATCTGACAGAAAATATTGTGGGTATATTTACACTACATCTATCTTGCTGCTTAAGAACACACGCATATTTTTTGCTTAAAGGAAATATCTCCTGTCTTCTCTGTATATGTGTTTGTAGATATTGGCAAAGCGTATGTGCAGGTTCTCTTTAGTATTCTGTGTAATTCAAGTACTTTATTAAATCTGAGATAATTCTGCAATTTAAGATTGGTAGTAGGTCCAACTGTATGTATGATGCACTAGATTTTCAAAGTGGAAAAAACAAGGAGAAACTTAGACTTTCTTTTTGAATATCACTTTACCTCATGCACAGAGAAGATTTGATATTCTCATTCTTTCATGAATGGTACTTATTCGCAGCAGTTGCCCAGGGTACAGGCAAAGCTAGAAGCATTCCTGTTACAAAAGCTTTAAGCTAAAAAACCTCTTGGTAAGTATTTGTAGAGTAACAGACACACTGGATCCTGTCACAACAATTTATGAATTATCTTAAGTTTTTGCTGTATTGTAAGAAATTTACCCTTTCTAAAGATATAAGCAAGATTTTACTATTGACCACAGAAAAATAATATACCTCTATTAGTGCAAGGAATATATGACTGTTCCTCAATATTTATGTATTTATATTTATTTATTAGACTGTTTAAAGAGGATAAGAGTGTCTGGTTACATTTTACAGTTTGGATGTTGTCTCTGATTTTGATACGTAGATGTGTATTTCTAACAGCTATGTATAGGTAATGGTGTGCATTGTAGAGTAGATAGCTTTATCGATTCGGTAAATAATTAGTAAAAAAATATGAATTAAGATTTTAAAAATATGTTCTCAGTTACCATAACTTGAAGGGATACCCTTAAAGCATACCATGTAGGGCTTTAATAGTAAAATTTGTCTTTCAGCACAGTGGGAAGACAAAGCAGAATCCTTAAATGTGTTCCAAAATTACCATCAGACTTTTTTTTTTTCCTCTGTCATTCATAAGCTAAGCATACCTGATCTTCAGGTTACATTTTTATTGAGATGGATTGCAGCAATTGATTTTTAAATTAACTCTATTACTTAAGATTGACACAAAGTAGGAGCAGGCAGAGCAGTAATAAGTATTTTAATTTTCTCTGTTGAGGTCTGCTTGTATTTCCAGTTTTGTGGAGAAAATTTATGGATTTTATCACTGTTCCCAGAAGCCTCATGTAATCATGTAGAGCAAGACTGTCTGGAACATTGTCAGTTCACTGTAGAAGATGGAGAGCCATAATGCTTTCAAGGTATTTAGTAAAAGAAAAAAAGCAAGCAAACTTCTTGATGCTTTGCACGGAAGGGGAATTCAGCAGAAACCTCCAGCTATATCAGTCAAAGATTGGTTTTCTTCACCTTGCTTTTACAAACTAAAAATTCCATTCACCTTAGTGCTGCTGCCATGAAAAGAGGAAGAGGAAGGGAATAATTAGAGAAACATGATTGCTCTCCTCTACCAAAGTCCAGTCTGGTCACTCCAGGGAGGTACACATGCTGCAATCAGTAAGGTTCAGGTTGCTCTGCATTGTATTTAAGCCCTGAGATTTCAGTTTACAGCAGATACTTGTTTGGCTATAAGACCAAATACAAAAAAATGCTTTCCTTTTAGCTCCAAAGATTTGAGTTCTTGGGAGTATTAGAGTCAACAGAAGCTGAGGGCCATCAGCATTTTGTGGACCTCAAGTATATTCTTTGCTAAAAAGATTATTTTCTGGATGCCATGGAGTCATAACACGTGTCACCCAAAACTGTGTCCACTCTTTGGTGGAATAAACCTGTCAGGCAACTGTTACCTGCCTGATAGGAAGTACTTCACAAGATTAGATCCAGAAATAAACCATTCAAGTGATTTAAAAAAAAATAAGCTCTTAAGTCCTTTAAAGCAGGTCTTCATATAGTATAAGAGTAGAGAAGCAGGTTAAAAAAGAGAAGCTATGTGCACTGTTCACAGGTCAATTTAATATGGTTGGCTTGTATTAGAAATGTATTTAAACATTGGTTTGGTTATGAGTCTTCTTGCTGCTCAATCTTTTCTGTAAATTGACTTGTTACCCTGTAATAGATTTGTTCATTTTTAAGTCCTTAGAGCTGTCATTTTTTGGTATAGTGTGATGTGCTGGAATGTATTGAGTATGTGTAAATGGACTAGATGTGAACAATTTTCTATTTGAAAAAATAAAATTATCTCACTCTCTGAAGTCCCTGAATCATTTCCATAGCAATTTTTCTCCACCAATACCTACAATGTAATAGTGTGTGTCTAGGAAAGATCCATAGGTAAGAAATAATATCAGATTCTTAATCCCTGTACTGGTAAGTAGATCATACCATCTTGCAATTCACAGATTCATGTTATAGTTTAGGAATAATGACACCCTGAAGGTAGACAGCATTCAACTCCACCTTTAGCACAAGAGGTTACAAGCTCCATAATGTCAACAACTTCCACACATTCTTACGCAGGGATTCACAACTTAAGTTCCTTAGGCGTGACATGCAAATTAAAACAGCTCCTTGAAGACCTGAAGGAAGTGTCATTGTGTGGATCACTAAGAGTTGGTGATCAAAACCTTAACTGCCAGTTTATATCTTCTGTTGACTTTACCTCTGTCAGGTCACCTCATTTTCTTGCTTTCTACCAGAGCAAAACAATATGCTGCTTGAGAGGAGGGAAGTGGATAAGCAAGAATTAGGGCTTATGTTAGTGCCTGTACCACTGTCCCCTGCTCAGTGACTCTGAATTTACCCTCATTTTCATATTCAGAGGACAGATGGACGGCTGCTTCTCTTCAGAGTTCGAAGTAACTTTTGGTGTATTTAAACGGAGGTTTCTCTTCTACTGTCTTGTCCTTTTGCTTCCATCTTGTGTGTCCCAGAGGCAGATGTGGTGGTGACTCATCTGATAATACCACACATAAGTTTTAGGACTGTACAGGAATTACCTGCCTTCTGGGTTCATTAGAAGTAATATGTAGAACTTTAACCCATGTTCAAAACCTTGCAGCCATGTTGATTTCTCAACCAGCTGATCAATAGCTGGAGAACTTGAATGGCCCTGGAGTAGGATGTGGGTAGAAATGCCACCACAGGAATTTACTAAGGCTCCCTTCCTATCCCCCCCCCCCCCCCCCCCCTTCTTCAAAAGATCATAGGTCTAAAAATCAATTGGACAAGAAGTTCAGGAAAAAAAATCTGTAAGCCATTATTTTGACTAAATTATGTTTTCCTATGTTTGTTCTAAAGAACTACAAAAAGAGACCTGGTGGCCCTGTGTCCCAGCAGAGTGCTTGCTAATATATATGTTCATGTGAAAATTGATGTACAAACTTGCAGGCACAAGTGAAAACCCCACTTTCTTTCCCTTGAAACTTCCCAAATAACATACTGCATATAGTCACAGAGATTCAGTACCTTTTGTCTTTCAGCCATGTGAAGAGGAGCATGCCTTCCTAGTGAAATTCAAAATCACTGTCCTTCGGGACAGGACTGGAGGTAGCTCACACTTCCCAGCCTCCTGGGGTGCCAGCACTGGCCACAGCCTTGCCTCACCTGAGGGAGCAGGTGCCTGGCATGTCTTGCTCATGGACAATTGCAGGAGCACTAGGTCCTGCCAGAGCTCTTATCTCCAGGTATTTCGGGGCACTCTCAGGAAAATCCCAAGCAAGAAACATCCTCAAAGCAACCTGTATGTAAATGCTTTCTTTTCTAAGTGGGCTCCTTTAATGTCCTGTTAGCTATTACTCAAGGTGCGTGGGGCAAGCACATTCAGCAGTTAACCACCCAGAATTGGCAGGTCAGTAAAAGGCTGACTGCAAACACTTAGAAAAATAAAAAGAGTATACTTTGGTCTAGTTCTCTTCTTCCTGAGCCCAGTGAAGAGTGTTTCTGTATCGACCACAGCAACAGCAGTAGGTCCATAGAGCATTTTTGAAAATACTGCTGCCATTCTTTAAATGACCAAGTGGTTAAAAGCTACAGCAGAGGTACACCTAGGAAAAAGGTTAGGAGAAAACTCTAAGGAAAATGAATAATTTCTTGTTCAGCCTTAATCAGCATGGCTTCTGCACTGCACTTTCTTACTAGCCTAGCCTACGGTTAGTATATGTACCCTGCCTCTTCTGTCTAATTTGAACAGTTTGTGATCATTCTGAGTCCTGTATTACCAGAAATAAAAACCAGGTGTGCATAGAGAGATGTGCAGGTGAATAAGATGTGGATTTAGTCTTCTTTTTATAGCCTGGCAAAAGTGATCAGGATACAATTAATTTGAACTACTGCTTGGCTCATCTGTAAGAACAAGGCACTGACAGAGAGCACAGTGAGAGCTCTCATGGTCTGCTCCAGACTTCTATATGTCAGATGCAGTGAGGCCAGCCTGAACAGCAGCCTGCTGACTACTGCGTCCTGTGTGTGGAATCACAGAGCATCATCAGGAAAGTGTTCAATTATAAAATATAAAGCAGGGCAAAAAACATTCCTGTATGTGCATGTGCCATAAGATAGAAATTGTGCATATCTATGAGCCCTTTTGCACTGAATGCAATACTAATTTAAAGGTCATAGGTCTATATATATTCCCAGATCAAAAGAAAAAGGTGTAGCACATGTAGTTCTAGATTTAAGAGATGGGAGGAAAAAATGTTGTAACTATCCTTGAAAAGAACATTCTAAGTGAAAAACACTACAATAATGTTATACCCAAAGAACTGCAAAAAAAATTCTGAAAAAAAACAAACATAAAAAAAACCATCGGTAAATTTAAGTGTCTGTTACTTTATCATTATTACGTAAAACACACAGTATTTGCATATCCAGATCTGACAAAGTTGATTTTAAACACTTTAATTTAAAAATTACTTTCTCCTTGTGATGTGAAACACCCTAACTCATGAGGCTATTAAATAAGTTATATCGTATTTGTTATTTATTTACACATGCTGAATTTAGTGAAATAGGAAAGAAAGATTCTGGGTCTTTTTGGCTGTATCATGTGAGTCTCAGTAAATGCATGATGAATCCTGACTTTCCCGTAATGTACAACCCAGCATCCATTACTGTTTGTGAAGTATGTGGCTTGTTCTTTCTGTCTTAAACACAACCATACTGGTACAAAGGCAAGCGCACTTGCCAAAATGCTGTCTCTTCTGCTGCGCCCACAAAATCCTATATTGACATCTGTGTATTGTCATTTGGATCCAAATGGAGATTTAGTGGGGTCATTGCTCTGTTTGTAAATGCCACAGATTCACACACATGCAAAAAAGGGCTTGATGTGTTTATTTCTCCTTCTTTTGAAATAATATTTTATTATGTTCTTAAAAATGTTCCAAAACAGTTCATCTCCTAATCCATATGCTGTGTGAGTAGCACTTCCGTAAAAAGAGAATAATGTGTGAAATTTGGACTGTTCTGTAGACAAACAGCTCTGAGACACAATTGGCGCTAGGAGCCAGAGAGCAAACCTAAGTAAAGGAGAGATTGTGCTAAAGGCTTGGGCTCATTCCTGCTTTTAACTGATGGCAGTATGGATGAATAACATTTTTCTCCAGGGCATATTCTAACTGCATACAACAAATACGCATTGAATTCTACCCCTCATCAGCTAACCAATGTTACCAGCTTGTAAAAACACAACAATTATTAGCTGATTTAGAAATATCCTCATGGTAATTTCATTTCACTTATTATGCCTAATGGATAGCTAGATATTTGCATGAAGTGTGTGTGGCTTTTTGCCTGAATTGTTAATCAAGTGATTAAGTGGTAAGTTAAAGTAGTGTATCCAGATGACATTAATGCTGTTCCAGTCCTGCACGCCTCCTGAACCAGTCACAGCAAATTATCTATATCTTAAACATACTTCTCTCCTAAGCTACTCATCTGCAAATCAAAGCAGCATTGGTATAGGCAATCTATCATGCTAGGCACCTTTCTTTACCACTGGCTTTTATACTGGTCTGATTACAACAGCTGGTTTCTTTTGTAGAAGTGGATGCAACGATGCCCACCGTCTATGACCACAGATACAGTCAACACCTTCAGGCAGAAGAGCTTCTTTGGCTCAAGACTGAAATGTATGTAGTAAGCTTCAACATGTGCCAGCAGCTTCCATCCTTCCAGTGCCTTCACTTACGGTAGTAGTGGATGACTTGAGCTGTCTGAGCCCTGGTCCGGCCCTTCTATACTCGTGTTTAAACTTTTGGCATTCCTGCTAACTAGCATTGTCATGTGTGTGGTCACATACATTGGTGCATTTGACTAACCAGCACGAGTTAGTGCCTGGCTCCGGGGCAAGCCGGTAAGGGTGGATGGACCACGGGATGAGGCATTGCCCCGACGCTCAGTGTACGGTACAGCAGGCCCACAAAAAGCTGCGTGTCCCTCAGCTGGGAGGTGAGTGTGGCCTTCATACCACCCTGAGGCTGCGGCCCTTCCGGGCAAGCGAAGCGAGGTCCTCGGCCCACGGTTGAGTCGCCTGAGGGGGGCAGGTAGGGGCGCCCATTGGGCTGAGGAGGGGAGGCCGTTGGGCTGAGGGGAGACGGGGGATTTGACCGGGCGGCGAGCTGAGGAGGGGGCCGGCGGAGGGAGCCGTGATGAGGGGAGCGGGCCCTCCCCGGCGGGCGCCGGGAGGGCGGGAGGAGGGAGGGAGGGAAGGAGCGGGAGAGTCGGGAGAGCGGAGCAGGAGCTGCCTCAAATGCTTGAAATAATTCCGCTTCCGTTCAAAGCCGGGAGCAGCCTCCCACGGCATCGGGGCCTCGGACCCGTCTCTTCCATCCCCGAGCACCGGCTGGGCCATCATGGCAACCTCCCCTCAGAAGTCCCCTTCTTCCCCCAAGTCCCCCACCCCTAAATCTCCCCAGTCCAGAAAGAAAGATGACTCCTTTCTCGGCAAGCTCGGAGGCACGCTGGCGAGGAGGAAAAAAGCCAAAGAAGGTAAAAATTACAGGTTTGCACGTTTCCTGGGAGTTACCTTAAAATGGGGGGGGGGGGGGGAGGGAGGAGACAGGGGGAGAGGGAAAAGGCTCTGGGGAGCGGGAGGAAGGGGCTGACTGGGGAAGGACGCGTGAAGCGGGGTGGGCAGGCGAGCGGCGAGGGAGGAGCGCGTCGTTTCCCTGCGGCTTCGCCGGCTGCGGGCGGGGGCCGCGGCGCCGCTCCCCGGTGTTGCTCCGCGGTGCCAGCACGTCACGGCGGGGAAATGCGGGAGACCCCTCACCCGACCACCCTCGCCACAGCTTCCGCTGCCGCTGCTGAGCCCCCCGCGCCGGGGCGGGCTGTGCGCTGCGGCCGAGGCGGGCCCGCCGCACTGCGGGCCGGGAAGCGGTGGGGCGGGTGAGCGGTGTCCCCCGTGTGGAGTCAGTGCTGAGTTCGTACTGCCCGAAGCGGTTGGGACAGGATGGGCTGGCGTGCCCGGGCTGGAGAAGGGTGGTGGTTCACCGCCGAGGCTGAAGCGCTTCGGCGGCCTGCGGTCTCGTCAGGCCTGCGGGCCCCAGTGCCTCGCAGCGCCGCGGAGCTGGGGAGAGCCCGCGGTTTGTCCTCGGCCGCGCCTAGCAGCCGGTCAAGAGCACTTGTCTTCTGAATTGTGGTGCAAAGCCCCCAAAACTTGATGCTCAGATCTTCTTTGACTCATAATGTGTTGCTTTGTATTGGCCTACAGTATGGTCAGTAAACACTGCTCTGAGAAACTAGTGTGATGCACAAGACTGATGTAATGTTTGTAACAGGAATCGATCCTCAGAGGCTTAAAACATAGTTATTCTTGTACTAAGCAAAAGACTTCTGCCTCATGTCAGTGGACCTTTGGAGAACACTAAGCACATACAACAGTGTGTTTCTTTGTCCATGCATGTGAATTAATATCCACTCTGTATGGAATTTGCCTATTTAAAATCCCATGAGGCAGAGAATTGGAATTTAACCTCACTCACCCATCATTTCCCAGCTGATGTTAATTTAAATATGATGCAAAGAGAGCCAAAGTAATAGTCACTTCAAAGTGTTCATTGCTTGCAAGTGTGAAGAAGGGGTTTATGCTTGGCAGACTCTTGCTTTTCATATATTTATACATGGGTAATGAAACCAGGCACAGTATTTCAGAGTAGTACCAGCGCTGTGGACAAGGATGATCTGACTTTGGCTAGTACAGCCCTCATTCTGTAACTATCACATCATCTTTCTGAGATGCATGGTCTTGCTTTTCAATTAAAATACATGTTACACCATTGTGCCCACATTATTTGGCTTTTCCTGGTCATTGCAGATGGGCCAGAAGTTGATGAAATAGTAAATAATGGCAAACTAAACTGCTTTCTCACTTTGTTATATTATTCTGTTAGGGTACTCATGAATATTAGCAGCATTGAAAGGGCAGTGGTTGTCTGTGGTGACTATATGATAGGTGTATTCACAAATATTTAATTTTGCCTATTTGTAGTTTTAGTATGCCCAGTGTCATTTTTAAACCGTGCTGTTTTCCTCAGTGACAGATGTTAAGTTACAAATCTCCAGGAAACTGTTAAAGTAACAGTTACTTTTATCCAAAATTTTGTAATCTTTCAAAAAGCTGTATTCTGTGAAATAATATTTCTTCTTGTTACTTCCATATCTGTATTTATCAACTGCCACCTGTACCTGCCATTTCATTGTCTCATCATGTTGATATTTACCCTTTTGAAATTTTGGAACAACATTAGTGTTGTCCTGGTCCTTTGTGTTTCCCAATTTTCTAAAGTCTATTTAGAAATGACAGTAGTTTGGTTTGGAGATTTTTAATTTTAATTTTTTTTTTTTAACTTTGTAACAAGTTTGTTATATGCTGATGGAAGAAAAAGTATTTTATTCAATTCACCTTAACATCCTTCTGCATGTGTTTGTCACATTTTTTTAGTGGAAGCACATACAGAGGTTAGGGTTATGGTTTCTCTAGTGAGAAAATGATGAGATAATCCTAGAATATTTGATGACCTATGTACAACTGAACTGTTGCATGCCAGAATTAGTTGTAGTTTAAAGTAAGATTCCATCCCTTCCATTCCTGAAAAGCATTCAAAGACTGGCCCACCCCATTTATGCTGCTGGAAGATTCCAGCCCTGATCTACCAGGAGTTAATGTGCATGCTGACCTCATTGTATTAGCAAAACCCAACCACAAATTAAATTAAATTGTAAGGTCTATAGAGTAGTCTGCATTGTGTCTTAAACTTATCTTTATACAAGTGCAAGGAGAGAACAGAATGACATCTTTTTTAGATGTAGGGGGGTGTGTTGTGTTATCTGATGAATTCTTCATGGTGGGTTCGCTAAGGTCATGCATGATTATCCTCCTTGAATTTTCCTGGCCTGGCAATTATAGACACAGAAATGTCACTCCTCCTAATAGCTTACCTTAGTGGGGAATCTTAAGAATTGGCCTCTGACATACTAATAAATCTGACACATGTGGGAACAGAGAGCAAAGTTCAGAACTGCTTAAATTGCATAGGAGCAGATGTGAAGCAGCTTGGACCCATGAATTTGGTAGAGAACAATTGTACAGGCTCAGTCAATTTTCCAACTGATATGACATCAATTTCAGTAATTTGACTGCACTTGTGCCTGGTTTATTTGGTGTCGATGGGCAGGAAGAGGAATGAATTTTCTTTTAGCTTCCACTTAGGGTACTTTTTTTTTTTTGTTTGTCTTGTTTTGTTTTAATTTTGATATGCGAGGTCACAGTAGGCTGTATTCTTTGTATGCCTAAGGAAGAGTATGTTAACAGTGTAAAATATTATAGATTCTGCTACTTTTTGATAATAACCTTACCTTTGTCAGTCTTTGCTTTGTTGCCATCATGCATTTCACAGAATAAGATGAAATTGCTACAAATGAAAAACACAAATTAAGAATAAGTGTAGGGTTATGAGAGCTTTTCAGGTGTTTTAAGTAAAATTCTTGGTTTTTCTGGAATCCATGACTAAAAGGTTTGCTGTGTGACTCACCAACTGAGACATCATTCCTTGGTCTGGCTAGGGGCATTCGACTCTGAAAGAAATGTATTTCTTGGTATACAAGAAGTGTTCTGCTGAATTTTAATTGACATTCTTGAATAGTTTTCTTTGGACCTGGTTCTGTAATTTCTTTTTGAGTAATGCACTACTGGGGCAAAGGGCTATTTTTTCATGCCAGTAGACTTTCTTGCTTGTCTATTTCTTACATGAGAGGTTCTAGACTAGCTTAAATGCATTGCAGGCTTTTTCTTTTCTACTGCTCTACCTGATGCTGTATTTAAAATGCAGACAAAGCTGAAAGTAGAACTGATACATGTCTTACCCCTGTGTTTGCTAATATGTAGTGCAAACAATGAAAATGGGCCACTGAACACTAATTTCATACTGGTGCTTTGAAGAGAGTGTATAGTGTGTTCTATGGAAAGAAAATGGCACAGGGAGGGCTTCATAGTCACTGTTACATCCGTACTTTAGAGTTCCTCTCTTTACCTGCAGTGTATCTAGGCCTTCTTGTGCCATCAGAATCAGTGAACAGCTGGTTTTGATGTCTGACATAACATGCTTTACCTCCAACCTCTGCCCATAGTGACTGAAATGTGCTTGCAATCTTTCCTCTGTATCCTGTATTGCTTATTACCATGTCCTGCCACAGGCACATCATAGGCAGCTGCATAAGCTGTTGCTGAACAAAACCTGTTAATACTACCACTGAAATAATTATTGCCTTGGAGCAAGTTCTGTTCAGTAGATAAAATACTTCTGTTAAGTGGAGGAACATGGAAAGTGAAAAGAAAAAGAAGGGGAAGGCTCACAGGCTTCGTTTGTTGTCATTTCATTGCTGTGAGCCTTCTGAGCATATCTACAGTGTATTAAAAGAAAATAAACTACCCAAGCCATGCTGCACTGGGTTTGTGCAGGTGGAAGAGTAACTACTGTAGCCTTTGATAGCTTTTGGATATTTCTCCCTGCCTCTGTCTTCTCTTTTGACAAGTGTTGCTCTGCAATAATCAGAAACTGATAAGCACTGTTAGCTGTTATCTCTAAGACATGGTTAAGGATGTGTTGTTGTTCGTATGTGGCTAAACAGAGGGTCAGTGCTAGGCACTGTACTTTCACAAACAGTGTGAAGAGTCCCTGCATGCAATAACTGCAACCTAGACCTCTTTATCTGTACATCTTGCATACTTTTCTGAATTTTTCCTTCTCTAATCTGCATTTTAACATTATTTCCAGCGTCTCGGTTTTGGTAGAACTCATGATCTCATTTGGAATTTTAGCTAGTGCATTTTCTCTAGGGTTTTAGTTTAAAGAGGCTTTTTCTTCTTTTTTTCTTTTCAGATTATTGAGTCTATATCCAAGGGAATCCTGTCGTGGTAGAGCTGAGCCTATCAGTTTCTGGTTTATGCAAATGTCTCCTAGCATGTGCAAAACATACATGGAGGAGTTAGCTCATATAGGATTGTAAAACATAGGATACGTAAAATGCACTGGCAGTGTTGAAATGAACACAAAACACAGCACTGTCAAACTCTTCTCTGCCAAAGAGGAGGCAAAGGCAGCTGTGGTGGTGTCTCACTGGAGGCAGGAGGACCCATGCATGCTGTAGGGGATGTGTGTGAAGAGGACATAGAGCAAGGTCCTCCTGCCTGTTCCCACAGGAGCACTCTTCAGTTGTTAAATACATCTGGTTGCTTTTGAACTAACCGAAGTGACAAGTATTATTTTCTCTCTGTGCATGTTAAGTTCTGAAACCTATTGCGATACAATGTTTTGGATGCCAGAAATATTTTTTAAGGGGGGGTTGGGGCTAAAAGTGGGTCTGGGTGGATTCTAGATGAAAAACGAAGTGGCTGCAGTGGCCCACATAGGAATGAATCATGTAGGCCATCAGAGACATTTCACATTCAGAAACCATGAAATAGCCATCATGAAGTCCATACCTATTTAAGG